CTCACCCTCCCCCCTCCCCCCTCCTGTCCACAGCGCTCGGCCCCCTAGTCTCTCCTAGCGCGGCCCAGAAATTGTCTTAACCTAACGTAACCTTAAAATAATAAAAAAAAATAATAATTTGCTGAAAAATAAGTGTCATGTACACAAATGATAGGGGGGGGAGGGGGGGGTCCAAAAATCGAATACTAGGACGGAACCAACTTAGTTAATTTAATAAAATAAAATAAAATGGTAATCATACCGAGATTTTCACTGTCCACATGTTGATTGTTGACACATATAGAATTCGTCAAAGTATCGCCATCATCTCGAGAGATTTAATAGTTTTTCCAACTTTAATGTGTTCTTTGTGTGTAAGGGGAGTCTGATTGTCATCATTATCACTCCCATATCGGTAGCAAGCAGCAACTAATCTTCGTTCTAATCCTTTGAAATTCAACTTTCAACTTGTGCAATTTATAATTTCAACTGTAACCCTCCGGTATGGTGAAGACGACATGATTTATCTATTCTATTTTATCTAGGGAATATATTTATAGGTCGACAATAACTGATTTCGACCTATGGAACACTATTATTATAAGGATTCTTCTTAACCAGTATGTGGAGGGGTGTGTATTTTTATAATTAATTATGGAGCTAGAAAAAGTGATAATTCAATAAATAAATCAGCTCCACTATACAACCGGAAACATAGAACAGGACGTTGTAATGCGTACTTCCGGCTCATCTTGTTTACGCATTGTTAATAGTGAATGTATTTAAGATTAAACGTAGAATCAACACACATGCCAATTTACATGCAATCAGTCTATGTCTGTGTAGTCATATTAAATAAAAAAATCTAAAATTTTTATCTGCTGAGTGATTATTTCACATCTAAAAATATACTTTGATTGTCCGTCTGTTTGTATCCAATAAACGTCAAGCGACTGAATGAGCAGCTCACTTGTATTTTTGACACAAGCGAGGGTTTATTGACCGTCAAAAAATAAAAATATCGACCGTGATAAAATTACGACAATGTAAATAGAAATTTTCAGAGCTACAGATAAAAGATACAATTGTTCATAGGAAAGGGGCCCTAAAAGCCTATTTACTTAAATATTAATTACTAGTTGAAGTGCCTGCGGTGTTGCCAGTGGAATTTTAAAAACAAGAATTTTGAGAAAAAAAGAAAAAATTTAGAAATTTTTAACCTATGTCACCCCCAGGGTACCTGTGGATATCCATAAATAATTTCAACCAATTTGGTCCAGCTGCTTGCCCATCTATAGCTGACATATACATAAATACATATATATATATCTTCTTAAAATTAGCCTAGAACATTTTCTATTGTTTATTAAAATTGGTTATTATAAATATATATGTGAGGGAAGAGATTTATTACATAGAATTTCAATTTTATGAGTGCGTGAAAAGGTTGAGATTTGCTAACATGAATACGAATTTTCCCAGAGTGGTTCTCACACCCCTCCTTAACAGTTCTCTGATTGAGATCAACGCTAAATACTTAATACACGCTATTCTACAGGCTTATATTTCAAAGAAACTTGTTGAATTCAAGGTTTAGATTGTTTGCTGTTTGGAGCGTTGGATGTAATTATCTAATATATTTTGCATCACAACTTCTTGATATTGGCATGCAGTTCAATGTTTGATTTTTATTTAAAATGAGAACTGAATAATAGGAGAAGTGTAATATAACAATTACATTGTTTAATATGTTAAAAACAAATGTAGTTGAATTGATTGATGTTAACGTCGTAATTAATCAAGAAATTTTTCTTCATACCATTTTTAATAAGCTCGGTGTATATATTTAGGAAAATGAAGACTGCAGGTCAACTAGTTCAGACTGTGTCAATAATTGATACTATAAGCCAATTAGCCAGCACACCAGGACATTCAGGTTAGTGTAGTACTCAAGTACAAATCAGGTCAGTTAGCCAGCACACCAGGACATTCAGGTTAGTATAGTACTCAAGTACATAGCAGGTCAGCTAGTCAGCACACCAGGACATTCAGGTTAGTGTAGTACTCAAGTACATAGAAGGTCAGCTAGTCAGCACACCAGGACATTCAGGTTAGTGTAGTACTCAAGTACAAAGCAGGTCAGTAAGCCAGCACACTTCAGTGCAAAGTAGGTGAATAACACATGCGTTTCAACAAGATCTCCGCTTTTAAGCTTTGCATCAATTTCTTAAATTTCTTTGCACATTATAAAATGCTTAATTGTACACTTTTACGGATCTGGATAATGCGATAAATTACAAACTCGAGAAAAAAATCTTAATTTTTAGATAAGAATATTTCAGGCCTGGACACTCTGAAGTCTTTTTCTACAAGTTCTGGAGTTGGTGGATATGATTTAAGGGGAACTGAAATTACTTCAATACGAGGGATGGATCTCTCCACCCTACCAGGGACTTCTCTACCCTCCCCTCCTCCCCTTAGAAATATACAAGAGAAATTTAGACACTCACAACATTATTTCAGGAACAACAAATATTCATTCATATTTTTATATTTTTTTTTGACGCTAAATTTTTTTTGGTTATAAGAAGAAGAAGTACAGAGTAGAAATATCTCTGTTTTCTGTGAACAAAATGGAGGTTCTGTTTTTGAACATTTTTTCTCTTTATCAACTAACCTAATGCCACTTACATATTTGTTTACCAACAAAAGAAATGCTGTTTGACTTATAAATGCTATCTTAAGCGTGTTCCATATAATAACCAATTACCATGCAATATCTTTATTCCATAAATGAAAATATAAATAAAAGTGGAGCATTGGTATATATTATATATATATATATATATATATATATATNACAATATTTGTATTTGTATCTTCTACTTGTCAGAACAATATTGGGAGGATAGAATGCAATTTTAAGTTTTCGTACATGTGGGTTTACATACAACGCAATGATTTTGTAAACATATTACAAGAACCATATTCATTTTACGAATTCAGACCCCGCCCAGAAATACACCTCTAACACGGAATCAAGGGACTAGAAACCTAGGAAGCAAGGTCTCCCAACTACCGAACTCATTGATAACTCCAGCAATAAACACCCCTTCACCTCAAAACAAAGAAATTACAAAAGGTAAAACATGATTTTTTTTCAGAAGATTAACAAGATACATATTTTTTTTAATTCTCTGACGCGCAATTTTCGTAAGGTTTAAAATTATGTTGTAGGTATGACTGGTCCATCATGTATGAACAGCACTATTCGAACTCCTGGACTAGTTGAGGACCGACGAAAAAGATTTCGTAAAGGAGGTCGTTGTAGTAAGAATACTGGAGGGGAGGATCAAACTCCATATTGGATTCGAGAATTGTTCTTGGTTGTTAAACGAGGAAATCTTGAAAAGCTGGTGAGATACAAATAATGAACATGTTATTGTATTTATTCTAAATAGTATAGCTAAAGTACACGGAAATATTGGGACAGAAATATCTGATTCCTTAAACATTTTCTATCTGTGATTTGCTGCGACTCTCCCCCCTATCTAGCCAGGAAATCGCAGATAAATCATAGCTAGAAAATGAGTAAGAAATCGGATAATTCTTGTACTTTAAAGTATCAAATCTACCCCTTCAGTATCCAAATAAGACTATGAAGTATATGCATGTTATACATACGAAACTTTTCTTTTCTTTTCAGACCTTTAATGTGCATCAGATTGATTCCTCTCTTTGCTCATTTCATAATTCCATTATTTGTTTAATCACCCCTGACACTATTTTATACTCTCCTATTCTGGGACTTGAACCCACCTAGGTGGTTTTGAGAAACAATGTGTTTTAAAATGCGGGATAGCTTTAAATAGTAATGCTACAAATAAAATAAAACACCTAGTATGTGCCTTAAGTTTATTTTGTCTCTCAGTTCAATTCTAAAAATACATAAGATATACATATATTATACATATATTAGAATAACATGGGGTTCTACAGAACTTGAGCTCAAATGAAGAAGTCATATACTGTTGTTTAACTATTCTAGCAATTTAAACATTTAAACATTAACTCCAATTATAAGAAGTTATTGCTGGAAGATTCTTTTATGTTACACTTTTTTGAAAAAAGAGGAAACAGTCCCTTTACAAAATAACTTAAATATAATGAATTTCTCAGAATAAACATAAATGGATATCAACTTGAAATAGGATTTATTGCAGGTCTCATCTTATTTTTTTGGCTATACACTTATCAGTAACATTTTAGAAACTGAAAAACTAGGCGATATTCTGCGCATTTTAAATGAGTAAAAACTTTGGGTACGTGTCAACTTTGTACCGGAAGCTTGGGTCACGAAACCTCCCAATCATATTTTAATTATACAAGTTGATTTATCCCGCAGAACACCCCCCCTCTCTCATTTCCATTGCTGTCCACCACCCCTCCCCTACAAGAATATACTCTTTGATTACAGGTTTGGGGGGATAATTTTATATAATACATCTTAGATATTTTTCTCAGGGATTTACATTAATTTACCCAATGCCACTTTTAAACTGACAAAACTGGCTACACGGATTTTTCTAAATAAATCTATCGGCCATGTTGAAAACGCTTTTACATTTCCTCCAGTCATAATCATTCCCATAAATAGCCAACCTCAAAATAAGATAGAAATGTATGCCCCTGAGTATACTCCCTGACCGTTGACCCCTAGGAATACGCTGCATTATTTATACATGTTTAAACCTATAGACATATTTCCATGGTCCCTTCTCTGGATCCTCTGGAAAGATTATTTAATAAGATATAGTTTTAAATAAAAATATATAAGAAGCATACAAAAGAATTCTCTCTGAAAAAACGTGTTCTTTGTTGGTTAATGCATAGACAATAGTCACTTAAGTCAGAACTGTAATATTAAATTGATACTTTGACTAACGTATTTGCGTCAGAAGTATATATATATATAGATGAGAAAGTAGCTGCAAACAATTTCGTCTTTGAAAATAACTTTAGATAAGACATATCGGTTTCATATCATATTATTGCATTGCAAATATTTAACTAAAAGTTCATATGAAATTTTACATAAAGATTGTAGATTGCAGATTGTAAATGTAAAGATTAAAGAAATTTTTGTTTGAAAAATCCGCGAACTTTTTTTGTTATTGTCTTACATTGTACAAAGCGAAGTTGCTTACAGATAGAGCCACACTTTAAAGTTGAAATGAAAGATGAGCTAATCACCCTAAAAGTCTAGTATATCTTTTGTATCTTTTTTAGATTTCTAAGTTGGAGGGAACAGAACGCGGAATATTAAGAAACATTGCCGATTATCTTGGAAACAATTTAGGAAAATATTTCACACACTATTGAAGCTGTACATATTTGGTGTAAATTAAAGTCTTTCTTTTGCACAACTGATTCAAATCCTGCGCTGAAAATTTGTATTCAAGATGACTGTTCAGATAAAACTGGTGACCAAAATGAGTTTTCTTTTTTCTTCAAGTTACATGGCCATAAACACTTAGCAAAGTATTTGCTAAATTTATCGCGGAGGTATAGGAGGTATAGGAGGTATAGGAGGTATAGTAGGTATAGGAGGTATAGGAGGTATAGGAGGTATAGGAGGTATAGGAGGTATAGGAGGTATAGGAGGTATAGGAGGTATAGGAGGTATAGGAGGTATAGGAGGTATAGGAGGTATAGGAGGTATAGGAGGTATAGGAGGTATAGGAGGTATAGGAGGTATAGGAGGTATAGGAGGTATAGGATGTTTGTTTTAAAGGTTAAACTGACACTTGTTGCAAGCTCAAATAATTTTACCAGAATGAAAGTGATACTTTTTTGTGTGTGAGAATATTTTATAAATTAGTCCACGCTTGCTGTCAGTACGGACACGCCCATATACTTGCTTGGCTGGCTAATAGGTAATCAGACAAACAGACTGTCAGATTGTGAATAATCCAACAGAAGTACGGTGGTACGCGATTATATCAATACATCGAAGACGATTTTAAAAAAAGTTTTGATTGTTATCAAGCTTTTTTCGAATTATAAATATACAAGTAATCAAAGAGAAGCTTTTTTAATTGACAGCTTCTCCTCTTGACCTCTATGTTAATGTGTATCCATGCCATTTAACAGCTTGATCTAAATCAAAATTGAAATCAAAAGTCGTCTTCATTGTATTTATATAATCGCCTACCACAATATTCAGATTGGCTAGCCGTAATTAACTAGCTAATACACCAACACTACGAGTGAGATTGAATTAATGTTTTTTTCAGACTTGGATCTGAGATGGATTCAGCTTTGTGTGATGAGAACAAACAAGGATTAAATCCTGCTACTCTAGCTATAAAGGTAATTTTTAGAAGTCGTCATAAAAAATAATAGGAATGCAACGCAACACAACTAAAGTATAAACAATTTTTATCAAAGAGTTTAGTAGATGTTTTAAAGTTGAATTTGAAACTGACAGTAGTTTTTTTTTGTGTTTTTCTAGACTTTATGTCATCTAGTGACATTAATTTTTGATGGCAAAAATATCAGAATATCAAATGTCAAATGATCAAAAATCTTTAAATGCTTAAAAAATGTATGTTTTTTAAAAATCATATAATTTTACAATAAAGTTAATTTTAAAGTTTAAGGTATTCTAGTAAACATATTTTGATAAAAGGTTTGTAAAATGTAAGCTCTATACTCTTCTGTTCTCTTATCTCTTTTCTTCTCTTCTCTACTCTTCTGTTCTCTTATCTCTTTTCTTCTCTTCCATTATCTCTTATCGTCTCCTCTTTGTTTTCTCTTGGTTGTTGACATTTAACCGGTTTTGAGATGAACAATGCTGTACGATCCGTTGTTATGATTTTTCTCTGATTTGTTTTCATTTTTAGCTTGTAGACCTAATTGAAACGCGTTTGTATTCCATAATTAGGCATTTGATATTTTAATATTTTTGAAATTTTTTCACCTTAAGTCTTCATTTTTTACTGATATAAACCTCTGAACCTTGAATTAGGTCACGATAATCCGAATCCGAATCTATCAACTTAATGTTTTACGCTTATGTGCATATGCATTATGCAAATTGTTTGAATGGTTATTATGCGTAAACACTGTATTGTTTAATCTCCACTTATACTGTTTGCACTGGAATTGGAAGGTTTTTACATGGAGATATAATAAAATGGATGGATCATAGACGAGTTTCGATGTAATTTTCTGGGTAGGTTGTTATGCAGTACATTGGGGTTCTAGAAGACAATGGACCCTGGACTATCTTTTGCATAATTTCTTTCTTATTTAGCCAAACAGTTATACTCCACTGAATCTACTTTAAATATTTTTTTTCTTAATGGTTTAAAAGAAACATTAAAAAAAACATAAATACGTCCCTAAAATGCACACAATAAATCTAGGGTCCGGTTTGCTACATCAGCTGGTAGGCCCATAGAAAAATTACAGAAATTAAATTTGTACTCTGGCCGAGTACAGTGTAGATAGATAGATAGAATCATATCTAAAAGCGGGCCATGGGTTTTTATATCTGTAAATAAAACTTTTGGTAGATTGCAGTATCCAGTACTCACTTTTAAATGAAAGATTTAAAATCATCATTTTTTCAACAATGTGTTAAAAATGATAAAAACATAAGCAATATATAACTTAAATCAACAATTTGTTCATTACAATTCACATAATTAAAACTTATTCATATATGGGTATACTGGGCTGATTCAATACCCCATAGCCATTTTTGAGACTCCTCCTTGAAGGATTGAATTTACTGATTTTGCCCTGTGGGCTTGATTTACTGATTGTTTTTTTCTCTCTTTATATTGATGAATGAATATTAAAGCAATTGAGTCTTTGCCAGAAACCTAAATTTTCTAATCCCTATACCTTGGCAACGTGATGGTTTAAACCTTTGATATTTCAAACTTAGATTATTTCATCTGAAAGAATGCATAGTTTTAAATATCTAAGGTCTACGAAATTGAGTTGCAGAGATATAGGGATTTGAAAATCAGAGTTTGTGGCAAAGACTAAATTCCTTTACTTACTTGCAATGCCATGTATAGTATGGAAGACTGGATGTACTTGTTTGGCTGGTCCGCAATATAAGAACAGTACAAGAACACTTACAATCTAAAGATGGAGAGAGAAGCCTTCTGCATTTTGCTGCTAAATATGGACAGGTAGGAATTAATTCCCAAAAGTGTTTTTAGGATAATTGTTTATTCCCTGAGAGGTTGATGGCCCATCAAATTAAGAACTGACTAAATGCTTCAAACTCTAAACTTTCTCTGATTGTCGAACCTTTGCAACTTGGTTTTCGTAGAACTTTGATATTTCAAACCTAAATAATTCTATCCAAAGCTTCACACCAAAACTAGAGTTTGAGATGAGAAATCAATTTCTTTCAAATATAGTTTATATAAAATATTTAAAAACTTACATCACAATGCATACACGTTAAAGAAACTACTAAGGTTAGCTCGTTTTTCCCTTGCGTCTTCTCATAGGGTAAGACTTTGCCATAGTTTAATAACTGCAAACGTGTGAAAAACGAACCAAGCTATGTCCTTTGTCCAATCGATTTTCGTACATTATTATGCATGTTAATAATATACATATAATCGAACTCGTACAATACTTTCACAAACTGCATAAATTCTAAACAAACAGTGCTGAACAATTTAGAATGCGAACTAGAGTGTGGATGTAATATGAAATAACCAATTCCTATTTTAAACACGTTATGGGGAGGATATTTAAAGTTAGTTTAGTTTTTTTTACCGCCTTTTGACCAACATTACCGACCTATGATTCCCCCAACAGAGGGAGCTTAAGTTACTTAACGTCCCTTGAGACAGTTTTCAGGAAAAAAATAGCGCATTTTCATCGCAAAAGACGACAAAATTGTGTACAACTACTTTTCCGTGAATTAAAAATTTGACTTAACCACGGGTTACCTCGACCAATTTTGTCTATAAATATCTCCCGCTGCGCTCTGGATGTTTTGTAGACAAAATTCTTGCGCTTGATTAGGATCGTGAATAATCACAGAGTAATTGTGTGGAAATCGCCCCCCCCCCTCTTTGGTGAGACTCTCTGGAGCTTTCCCACGGAAAATTCTGCTTTCAAACTTTGAGAATGAAAAATATATTTTAAATATCTTTCATTGAAATGATTAAGAAATTAAAAAAAAAATGTTGTCTCTTTCTTTTTTTATATGTTCTATTATGAATCCCTGCAGCTGATATATTTTCCCTGTGCCCTACGGCGTTCCATAGTTTTCGTAATTTTGAAATATCAATAGTCTAGTTTCTACACATTTCATGAACACATGTACATTGTATAAAACATATTTTAGTGTAAAGTGTGTTAGTGTGCACAAAACTGAATGAAAAGAATAACCCTGAAGAAAAGATATTGTTTCTAAATGTCTGATGGCTTGTTGGGCTGGTACTAATTCATTAGCCAAGGATCATCAAGATTTCAAAGTTCATCTTGATAAAGCTGAGATAGCTACATTAATAGATAGTTAGATAGATGAAATTATATTTCCTAGGCTTGCGACACACTATGTTTTTCAAACCATCGTATCAGAATAAAATGGAAACAAAATTCAATCAAGTTTTGAACTGTCTTTGTGTTTCAAACTATCCAACTATGAGGAACATAAATATAAATCAGAAATGTCCACCCCCTCCCTTATTCTTCCCTTATAACGCTCTGCTATAATTTACTTCCTATATTCAAGACTTCAACCTTGATTTGACCTTAGAACAGATCTTAATGTTTAATCATTATCCCTTGGTGTATCTTCTTCCTCAAACTTATCATTAACTTATTCTGTAACTTCCCGATTTCCTATTTGTAGTGTAACCTCTCACTAGTCACTATGTGAATCGGCAAGGCTATGTATAAAATAATTGAATGGAATATTTAAAAGATAAAATTTTCATGTCTCAATTTTACAGTTTCTACGAAAAGACTTATCTTTTGAAATGTTGTATAATTTGACTGATTTTCTTATCATGCTTCGTAAGACTGCAAACTATCTTCATTCTTTAAATGATAAAGAATTAAATTTATAGGATTAAATACCCTAGGTATTATCCTTTACGTAATTTTAACTATCCAAAATATTATCTATACGAAAGGATACCTAAACAAGGTGAATATACTATACAAAAGGACTATACAAGAACATGTACTATACATAACGTTCCTGATCCCACTATTACTATAATTATCATACTTTTATGCATATATATAATACCCTGGTACGGTCGTTATCTATTTTTGTACATTTTTAAAGCCGAGAACTTCTTATACCGTCTTAAATCTTTCCACATTTGCTCTTTTTCTTTTAAACTTCCTATTCTGGCCAAAAAATGTTTAATCTTCTAAGTTTTCCCCCTCTATTCTCTAAAATGCACTTTTTACTTTAGTACCCCCTCCCCCCCTCCCCCAACACACACAACTTTCGTCTATTCTCTACCTCCTAATAGATCTCACACTTTTCCCGTTCCCCCTTTTCCTACTCATACCTCTATTTCTTCCGTTTTTCCACTTCCTATTGGATGATTTATGATGGTTGTGTACTGTGTAGTGAGGATGAGTCGATGTATGAAAAACTAATTGAAGATGAAAGGTGGCTAACTCGCAATAGGAAGGGTGCATTCAGAAGGATTTCATTACTTCAAACGTTTCTTCACCCCACCCCCCCCACGGCCACCTCCCTCCACCTCCAAACTCTACTTAGGATTGAGGTCAAGTTTTATGACTTGTATGCAAAAAACATATCTTGAACTTCAGCTGTATTTATGTCAGTTTTTACACTGACATTTACAATTGGTAAACTTTTAAGTATATACAAAACATATCATAAAAATATCCCAACGAAACATACTAAAACAAAACCTATGAAATGAAAACATATTTGCTAAAAAAATATTTGCTAAAAACAACAAAATGTATCAATTACTTAGTTCTAAAATGGTTTATAAAAAGTGAAATTAGTTATGATTTGGTTTTGAATATGTTTTGTATTAGATATGTTTTGTATTTTGACATGTTCTGTAATTTTGATTTGTTTTATATTGATATGTTTAGTAGACAGTGGTTTGATATTTTCTGTTTTGATATGTTTTTATTTGATATATTTTGTTTTGATTATGTTTGTGATGAAATGTTTTGTATATATATATAAGTGCTCCTGAACGTAATTGTCAAGTGCTTGTTAATTAAAGTTTCTACACCGCAACATTTTACATCTTTATTAACACCAATACTAAATCCCTCCCACAAAAAAAGTCCACTCAATACGCAATATAAACCATGTAACGGAATGTTGTCTGATGTACTCGCCTTGTCTAGTGATGATGATGGTGGATTCCAGAGTTATCTCTTCTCGACACGAGAAGATTTCACTTATTCTCGAATTGATTGCAAAAAAATCAATAGTTCAAATGACATACTACTGCCTGATCAAATATATAAAGAGCTGGGTTATATAACAACCAAAAAGTTCAATTTTCAAGAACATGACAATAAAAATAACGACAGAAACTATAATGATACAATCAACGCAAACTTATATAACAGAAAATCTAATCCCTCCAAAGTTGGCGAGTTTGTTAGTCTTGAAATGGATTTGTATGAAAAAATGAACAATATTCTACATTACAATTCCCAGCCGATTTCTTGTAATACTGGACTATACGAGGAAAATTAACATTAAGTGCATGATATAATAACCAACTTACATAAATATATTTTGTGAACTATTTAAAGTAAAATAGATAATATTGAATTCATTTTAAAAGCATTTAAATTTTAATTGCCCAATTTGTTTAACTGGAGTTATTTCTAGTTTGATTTTAGCTATGTAAAATGTAAATGTTAAAACTTCAGAGCTTGAATATTCTGTCCGGAACTAACAAAAAAAATATTAACATATTTTCAAACAAAGAAGCTGAAGGTTCTCTCCCTTTGAAAGTTGAGAATGTTGTGCGTAGAGCTGATATAGACTGTATCAAAGCAGATGCTCTCTATACAAACCAAGGTCTGCACGGAAATCTAACGTGTGACCTTTATGCCAAAGTTGACAAGATAAAAAAGTGGAAAGACCGAGAAAAATCGACCAAATCCAGAGAAACCGATTTCAACAATTTTGACAAGTTTAAAAATGGCGGTGAGCCAAGAATCTTCCTGGAACAAGATGAGATCTCAGATCCACTCTCACAAACCAAATCAGAACTTTCAAATATAAAAACCAAGCACACTCTAGAAGATTTAAAAAGAGAAATGATTGACTCAGAATATACGGAGCGAAAAAATATGCAATGTCTTCCACCCGTATGTGGGCGAAGTCCGCCGTGCAACTGCCCCCAGGACAAAGTTTTTGCAGCAAAACTCAGACTTAGGCAAAATCTTAATATGGAGAATTTCAAAAAGTTCAATTCCGATATTTTGTTAATTATTCCTTCGTTACAATTCAAAAATTACGTAATCTAAAATTGTTCAAATTAAATTGATGTAGGATTTTGAAGAAAATTGCAACACTACGAAGAAAGCATATTATTCTGAGGGTGGGTAGAGTCGATGGTAGTCGCTATTTAGTTGATTTATTGATTTGGAAAATTCGAATACAATTTGGTGATGGATAATGCATGTTTTTAATTTGAATTGATCTATATTTATATCGATTATTCTTTTCAATATTTCTCAAGAAAAATTAGTAGCCTGCATGATATATCAATATATAAAGTAGTGATCTCTGTTTGGATGTCTGATTGTTTGTTTGTGTGTTCGATCATAACTCAGGATTGAATCCCTTGATTGATTTTCCTCAAACTTTGATTGAGTAACTTGACAGAACCCCGAAAATGTTCCTAGCTTGGTTTAAAAATTCGAAATTGATTTTACAGGGAAATTTTAGTTTCCTTATTTTCAGACACAAAAATAAACGACGATGCTAAAAAACCCCTATTGTAGAAATAAAGTAAATATAAGATGAAAAATAGTTGGCGAAAACTTGTAAGATCGAAAATTGTTTAATTGTTCTTACAACAAATAAACTTACTAAGTGTAGGGGTTTTAAGGCAAATATTTGATTTTTTAAATTATGTTTAGGATGGCCTTGTGAGTTGGTTATGCGAAGATATGTTAGAAGAAGGAATAAGTTTGGATCAAATGGATCTCGGAGGAAACACGCCACTTCATCTTGCAGCCAGGTCTAAATTTCTTATTAAATAAATAATCCAAATCTATTACAAAATTTATCCATATTAATATCTTGTTAATTTTAGAACCATATCAGTTTTTTGAATGCACACATATACACATGTATAATCATGTCTGTAAAATGCTAGTAAGATAAGATCTACCAGACTCAAACTAAAAAGCTCTATAAGAGTCAAATTAATGAAGTTACTTCGAGTTTAGAAAACTGTCTCCCAGACTAATACATAAGAGATATGCAAAAAAAGTTATTTCCCACTATCCTTACTCTGTAAACTTTAGACCTATGGTTAGAGGGTAATTGCATATATCTACAAAGTAAAGTGGAGTACTGTTGAGTATGGATGGAGTTAATCTTTAACTTATAATGCACAGGCTGATGCCCTAGAAAGGGTTCAATAAGTTTCCCAAAATTTTTACTACGACCGTTTGGTTTAATTATTGACTTTGCACATCCATATTACTGTAATCTTACTAAAAAGACGGATTCATTTGGTGCAAGGTCCCGTTTAGCCTAATACAGTCTGTATATTTACTGTACAACTAGCTCCTTACAAGGATGTAATGCAAGGAACGTTATTTCAGAAGTGTACACATCTTTTATACTGCAGTTTACTGTCTCTGGGGCCTGGGCGATAATGTAAACACAAGACGGATGTCAAAGCCTGACATGGGATCCATCTTTCACATCAAAAAATCAATGAAATATTCTGGTCATAAGAATCTATTATGTGAATGATCAAAATTATCAAAATTTAATGCTTTTAACCTCCTCAGATACTAAACGAACACTGGTGCATCTATTCTTGTTTACAAATTTCGCCCGAAGAGAACTGGTTTCAATGTATACGCAGAGTATACACGACCGCAATTAGCTTTTCTTGCATTACACCCTTGGCTCCTTAAAAGTTGGCACGGAACATGAAATGAACCGGAGTGTACAGTATACAATATATATCCAAAGAAACTGAGTTTTCTAATCCATATATATATATATATTTTACATTTCCAACCTGATGATGTAAGTAAACCCATCATATTTCCAACTTAGACTTTTCAATCTAACATATTTTCATATTTTGAAATATTCAGGTGTACAACATCGGGTTGCAAAGATAAAGGGATTAAAAGATTTGAGTTTGGGGCAAAAATTCATTTCCTTTATAAGAATGAACAATTCCATATTTAGGCATGGTAGAACTAAAGCATCGTCTACACTACTTAGTTTTGGATCATCTATTAATATGAAGGTATTTGATTAAATTTTTACATAAAATATAACATGGGTCAATTAGGGTTCAGCTTTAAAAAATAAGATTTCAGATGAAAGATGGGATTGTGGGCTAATAATTAGAGGGAAGGATGCTGGGTTAAGGACAATGCAGTAATGCTTGGCAGGATATTGGCTTGGATTTATTTACAATCCTGACTCATTCATTAATACAACCTCCCCCTCTAATCACTCATTCACGCCATGTCCTGCATCACCCTACGTAACTTGTATCATATGTAATACTGGAATAAGATGCAAATTTGCATAATAAATACTCTATCTAGTCCTTGTTTCCGATCCTAACTTCCTCTTTCAATGTATACTTTTTCTTTAGTTTGATTTAAATGCAGTCTAATGATTAAATATTAAATGATAAAATTATATATATCTATATATAAATTTGGCTTGTCTGTCTGTTTGTTTGGGTGTTTGTTTGTTTGTTTGTTTGTATTCAATAAACGTCAAAACGGCTGAACCGATCGGACCCAAATTTTTTTGTGGGACATCTAGTGACCCCAGAGAAGGTTTATGAATGATCAAAATTTCAAATATTTGTCTCCATCAAAATTAGATCTTCATTAAATTTTTGAAAATTTTGAAAATCCACGAAATTTTTTGTGAAAATCCGAGAATTATTTTTGTTTTGTTTTACGATGTACACAAAGAGAACATGTTCACAATTAATTTAAAAGATGGACGCGAAGCGCCCTCTTAGGCTAGTATATTATAGTTCTGTATGACTAAAACTAACCAGTTGCTTATCCCAGTTTCATGGCAAAACATATTTTGTTTTCATTATTTGAAATATTCTTGGAGAAAGTTTATTAACAATTTAATCAAAGTATTATTACATGTTATAATGTGGAAAACTACCCATTTATACGTTTTTTAAATGTTAATAATCTATTTATAAGAGCAAGCAATAATGATTATGCTACATTTTTATCCAAAAGGGGTATTGAGCATATCAATGTAAAAGAATCGTAATTAAATTGAATATTGATCATTACTTTTATATTTCTGAGAGATTTAGATATTAGGCGAAGATTAAATGCATTTCAAGTAGCAGTGATTATCATGATTGCATAACTAAATGAATTCTTATTCAACATTATAGAATTTTGAATGATATATAAGCATCATTCTGATATTTCTAATTCAGTTCAGTTTGAATATTATAAATTCCATCAATTCCATATGCTGAATATATAAATATACAGTATGCGTTATGCTTATGCATAACGTCTTACAGCATATGAATAAGTATGCAGAGAAATAAATAACAGAAATCTATATCGCTAAATATCTTTCTTCTACCTTAAATCCTTTTTTGTTTTATTTACGTTTATCCTTTTTTTCTGGGCGACTTTAATAAAAAACGATTATTTTTTATTGCAAAATGAGATTTTTCTCGAAAAATCTATTAAACACATCAAAGATTTCAGAGATTAACAAACGTAGAAGGAACGGTTTTAGAATGAAATCGCACCTCTTCTTAACGGATTGTAACATAAACATTACTTGGAACTCCTTGTAAAATACTGGGCTATCAGGGCGCTTCGCGCCAATCTTCTCTTTCAACACGTTTAATTGTTGCTCAATCGTTCGGCATTTAATTTTCGATGAAACAGTAAATTTTTTTTTCGTATTTACAATTTTGTTTTTGTAGATTTTTTAAGTTTTATGAAAATCCGTAAACCTTTCTTGGAGTTATGTGAGATTCCCCTCAAAATTTGAACCCGATTGGTTTAACCGTTTTGAAGTTGATTGGACACAAACAAACAGACTAGCAATATCTATATATAAATTTGGCTTGTCTGTTTGTTGGTCTGTCTGTCTGTCTGTTTGTATCCAATAAACGTCAAAACGGCTGAACCGATCGGGCCCAAATTTTTGTGGGACATCAGGGAAGGTTTATGAATGATAAGAACCACAAACTCTTATTTTCTAATTCCTATATTATGGTCAAACTTAGACTATTTTAGCTTTAAAAATTCATAGTTTGAAATATCTAAGATTTATGACATTGAGTTGCAAAAATAAACGGATTTATAAATCAGAGTTTGTGGCAATAATTTATAATTCCTTTTCTTTCAATTACCAAATCAAGTCCAATTTTCAAGTCCAGTAGAAAGTAAAGAATTTATAGATAGATTATTCACTTACATACTCCCTTATCTCTCTACTCCCCCCTCAACAATTGTGCTCCTATACTACCCAAATATCAACCCCCAATCCTTCACCCAAGGATCTTACCCCATCTTTGTCACTCTAGTTTCGCCAAGATTTACTCTCCTTTAAAACACCCCTAATCTTTATCCCCCCCCCTTCTTTGGCCTTCATACTCCCCTAAGGCAAAAAATATAATTTTCCTTTCAACCACTGAAGACCTGAAATTGTTAGCAAAAACATTGTTCAGATAGATAGTTGACAATCGTTAATTCACGAATTGGAATGAAAAGTGTCTAGAACGATTCCGTTAAAGAATCTCACGAATAATTTAGAATAATTTTTGAAAGCAAAAACGTGCAGGTCCTTTTTTTCTCATTATGCTCTTAACATTATTTTTTCGTAGATTCTTTTATGCATGTATTCTGGAACCAGAATAGTGGTTCGAAACTATGGCTACGTGGTTCACCTACTTTTTGCTAGCTATTAATTATTAAATATTTGGTATCTTTACACCTTCTCTTATTAGTATTGTTATCCATCTTTAAAACAATAAATCTCTCATCTTCACATTGTGCATGCAATATCTGTGATTTTATTCTTCTACCCCTTCGTTCTTTAATTTATGGAGAAATTATGCATTCACCAATCTGTCACTGAGTTACTATTAATCTGTGCCTGTCTTTAGAACGACATGGGATTGAAACCAAGTGACTGTGCACGAATTCGAAGTGAAGAAAGTACAGAGGAATTTCTTCTCATGTTCGAGACTAGTTTAGGAATTACCAGGTATTTTACTAATTTACAATTGCCTTAAATTTCCCCTTAATCTTGTTTGTATCGAGCTTAAAATTAGGATTTTAAAATTAAATTTTTTAAATTTGAACTGAAATAAATCGTTCTACTACAAAATTACAAAAAGATATAGTTTCGACATTGAATAACACATTATTGAATACTAGCTGTTAAGTACCCGGCGTGCCCGTAAAACTTTCTTTTTGAAATTTGAAGGGGAAATAATTCGAAATTTGTTAAGCCTATGTTTCTCTATAGCTAACATAAAAAATATATATTCATAAAAATATGTACACATGAGCGAAGAGCTTATTGTATAGATAAATAGAAATATATTTTAAAAAATTTACTAAATATTAATTTTTATTATTTCTCTTCTTAACTGTATTATTTTTTATTTTTAACTAGCTGAAGTGCTAGGCGTTGCCCGCGAAAAAAAAATAAAAAATTAAAAAAAAACATTTTTATAGCCTATGTTATTGTCACCCCAGGCTACCCATGAGTGTCCACAAAAATATTTCAGCCGATACGGTCAGTCGTTTGTCTTGTTTTATTATTATTAATATTATTAAAACATCAAATGCAATATTTTATTTCTGTCTCTTTCCCAATTTAATTTAAAGAATATACTTAAACTATCATTTGAATGGAAATTCGATGAAGTTGTTGTGATTCCACTTGTAAATAATGTTGTTAAAAAAAACAATACTTAACAATTTTAATTAATATTTTCTAAAATGTTGATGAGCGCAAAGATTTTAATTATGCAGATTTACATATGTTGGTGTTGTTTTAAATCATGACTTCAGTTGAGGTGCAGCTGGCGTTGCACGAGGAATTTCGAAAATTTATTTAGCCTATATCAACCCGGATTTTCTGTAAGCCAATTTGGTCCAGCCGTTAAGCCAGCAAACATATAAATATGTATAAAAGAGCGAAGAGCATACATTATATATAGACGAATATTATAACTAGGGATTTGCTTGGAGTTAACAAAACAAACGAGGTTCTTAGCCAGGAGAATCTAGAAATCAAATCTCAGTTTAGGTAAACCATTATTTCTTTCTTTTATTAATTTGAGATCTTTCCTTTTACTTGCCTAAATCCTATGTTTCATAAAATCAGTTTTCTAATTAATTTAGATCTATTATTTAAGAATACGAATTTTCTGCAAGATATTACTGCAGGAAGTACCCTGCTTAATAGTCATATAAAACTAAGAAAAAATTCAATTTTAAGTGTGTACCTTTAGTACTGCCTTTAAAAATCAGAAATACTTGAGGAAATTCGATTTTGACCGATTAAAATACAGTGTATTTTAAATATAAAATAATGATTTCAAAACCAGTCAACCCCTTCCCGGACTTTTCTTGTCTATAATAAATTCTTGGTCAATGAAATGCCAAGGGTTCCGGGGGTTAATTAATATTAATGGAGAACGGACCTCAAATAATATTCAATCATTTTTCTTGTTATTTATCTAAAAGTTAATTCTTGTATTCTCCTAATAAGATTAAGATATTCACTAACCGTTAAACAGCCAAGGTAGAAAGATTTGTCACATTGACTTTTTTATCGGAGTCTTCGATAGACTCGGATAGACCTTTTCAGTCGAAATCCGTTTTCTCTTCTTATAACATCAACCTGTTCCAGGTTTTAAAACCAGCTTCTTTATTTCTTCATATCTCAATTCCTTTAACATAAATTCTTACAATTTCTTTCCCTTTATGTAGGTCACACTGCTGAAAATGGACCATCAGGTTTCAAGTCAAAACACCTAAATTTTTTCTTTTGAATATATTACTATGCAGAAAATGCCATCTAGGGAGTATTAAGTAAATCCATTTTAAAGAAATCAAGTGCATTTTCAGGTCTAAACTCAAACGTAACTGCAGTTTTAAGGATTAATCAAGCTTATACTGTGTTTTTTTTTCTCGATCTTTTTAGAACCATTAATTTTTGAATTTTCCTTTTCAGTCATTAGACATTTTTTAGCAAAAAATCAAAGCCTTAAGTGAACCGTATGGTTGCCTAATTTATACTGCCTAACACGCCTTTTTGAAGTAAATCAGTAAAAATAAAAAGACTTTTGACAGTGAGGCAGTTGACTTAGGGGTTTGATTTTTGATACAAAATATTTCAAGACTATTTAAGAAAATTAAAAAAATTTGGAGACCATGCCATGTACTGTAAAAAAAGTCGTCAAAAAACCCAGAAGATGCAGATTAGTGTCTTGAAACAAAATGTTCGTTAATTTAAGATCTGCACCTCATTTATACAATTTCTTAAAAAATGATTTTCCCAAATTTTCCTAGGTGGCATTTTCTGAAAATTTAGATTATAACTCAGTAGACTGCATATAAATATATTCCAAAGAAAAAGTTTAAGTGTTTTGACTTAAAACATGATGGTCCATTTTCAGCAGTGGTATGTATGTATGTAGTTACCTATGTCTTATTCCATATTTATCTGTTTTTCGATATTTTTTCTTTATTTCTTTTTATAATCACTAAGACAATATGTCAGTTAAACTTAATAGTACATTTTAGGGAGGTTCTAAATGTTTCCAAAAAGCTAGCAAAGGAGAGGGAGGATATGTCTAAAGATCTGACCCGACTAAAGGATAGAATACAAGAGATACATTCATCCATACTTGGTGATATGAAAAACCTTGTTCCGTCAACAAATAGGTGTGTAACTATACTACTGTCTGATACATCAAAAATGTTTGATAGCTAATTAATAAAATTCATCAAAAAGAAAAATGATTTAGAATAGGATTAGATAAAATATTGAATGGGGTATCTTTTGACCTATGCACGACCGCTATAAGCCTATACTACATTTCTGACCTACGCATCATCCGCTATACTACACCACGTGCTAGTGCACGTGGTTTTACAGCTGCGCCCGGCTTAGACAAATTGTCTTAACCTCACTTAACCCTCAAATAATACAAAACAAACAAAATTGTGCAGTATGTCGGAAAAGTTTTAGGTCAGAAGTTCAGTAGAGAGGATATTGCGTATTGACGATGTAACATTACCAAATTACCATTAACTATGTTTTTGGCCTTAAGATAGAGGAGTGTGATACATGTCCCTAGTCCGACTTTTTAGAGCCTGCTAATTAAAAAAAGTTAGACCTCTATCTTTAATGGTTAGGGTGAAATTGAGGATTTAAAAAAGGTTCAAAAGTTCCTTGGTTAAATGTTCAAAAATAAATATTTTTACTTTTGACAAATATTAACATGTGACCCATATATTAATTATTATTACATACATTTTTCAAGGGCTTTTCAAATATATAAAGTTAATTAACAAAAAAGTTTCTGATTTGTTTGAAACACCGACCCGCCGTCGTTTGACTGTGCTCCACCCTACCCTATGCATTAAAATAAANCCAATCGTGATAGGGTTAAGCAATTGGGGAACTTAAACACTTTCTCGCCCATAAACCGACCATTTTGGGAAATGGGCGGTTTTTGCCTTATAGAAACCGTCCAATTCCCAAGGTGAGCGTTTTCTGCCTTATATGATCACAAATTATAATTATCAATCTTTTGGGGGTTCAATTTATACCAAAAAGTAGTTATTACTAATTTGAATTTAAGTATGTTTCATGTTTTATGCTTGAGTTATGATTTTGCATATTCACATTTTTTCTTCTGAAATTCTTTTTTCGAATAATGATTGCTATTTGGCTAAAAATATCCATGAAGTTTGTCAACCGTCTTTTTTAACTTAAATTGTTTGTATTTACTCATTAATAGATTTTTCATCGGAAGCATATGTCCAGTTGTGTAGAGAATAAATACTTTAAAAAGTGACAACTCTTCTTTTATCAATATATGTTGTTATAGTGTTGAGTTAGAGAGGACTAATGACAGTCTCAAAAGCTTGGAGCAGAAGATAGAGGAACAGAGAACACAATTTTGCTCAGCATCCCTAGCAGATTTAGAGCACAGGTAACACTCAGCCTCCCTAGCAGATTTAGAGCACAGGTAACAAGCCCCAGAGATGTCATTTTTGAAGAAATTGTGACAAACGATAAAATAAAAAATGTCAAAAACCGAATATTTAATGGTAATGATCATTCGGGTTCGCAAAATTTTTTTTTTTTATTTCTAATGTGTAACCGGATAAATTGTTTACTTTTGCTCATACAGGGTGTTCCAATAAACATGGGAATTGAGAGACGACTTGAAAATCGTCTTTAATTTCTGATATTTAATGCATGGCATACACTCTTAATTAAAAGCTCAAAAAAGTGAAATTAAGGACAAAAAGTCGTTTAATAAACGATTTGTAGTTGCATTTTAAACGATTTCAAATAGTTGTTTATTAAGTAAAAAAACCGATTTTTAAGTAATTTTTTTAAAATAAGCGATTTTGAGTCACTTATTTGGCATTCACCAACTTCTTCTGCAATATAAGCGATTTTTTTAATGAAAATAAGCGATTTTTTGTAAAATAAGTGATTTATGTTAAGCGATTGTTTTGTCGCCTAATCGGGTGCATCCAACTGTTTCACCCGATTAGGCGACTATTTATAGCTTAATAATGATTTTTTAATTTAGAGTGCAGAAAGTAAAAATGTGAGGCTGTACGCCTAACGAGCTTTTCATAAAGTTGTCTACCTTTCTTGTAACTTAAAAATTGACGAAAATATTAGATGTTAAGACAATTTTGATTTATTTAATAAATTGAAATTCGTACGAATTCGCAATATCTCTGTCAATTTTGAAGATACAACATTTTGAAAATCTGAAGAACAGGCGTTTTCGATACTATATGTTTAAGCTGGAATACTGCAATAATTGTGTTTATGAAAAGATGCCGCATGGATCGAAGACGACATAAAAGTCGTCACTGAATTCCCATGTTTTGGGACACCCTGTACTTGTGCATAATTAAAATCGGTACTAATGCAAACGTCGGACCCACATACCGCGGGCAGTACAAACGTCGGACTTGTATAAACGTCGGACTAGTATAAACATCGGACGGGTACATTTATAAGGAAAAAGGACGGACTTTAGTTAATTTAAAAAAAACCTTTGTTGTAAGAAATAAAATAAAAATCACTCTCTTCTTGTGATCAGAGATAACTGAAATAAGTCTCACCCTTTGAACTGTTTTTTTTTGCGATAACTCAAAAAGTATTTGAGCTAGGAAGCTAAAATTGTCTGGCTTTTTAAACTAAGGCTAAAAGCTGGGCTTTTATACTGTATAAGTCCTCAGTCATACTGCCTAAATGCCTTTTTTTACCTACACAAGACTAAATCAATATTAAGACCTACTTCCAGCCTTTGGATTTCAAAATTGTATAGCTCTTTGGAAAGCCTATAACAAAAGCTAGCAAATTACATAACTTTTTGCAAAATAATTTTGCGCAACTTTTTGCACATACGCCTGTGAAGGCAATTTGCACATTTTCAGCTTTTCTTAAATACTTATTTAGGGTTTAAAAATGTTGCAAATATTTTTGCACATTTGAATTTGCTGGGTCAAAGGCTTTTCAAAAATGTTAATTGGTTGCAATTTGCGTAATTTTGTTTGCACATTTCTTGCTTTATAACTAGAATTATATATATTTCAAAAATTTCTTTACTTGTTAATAACTATTGCAGTTTCATATGCTTTTATTGTAAGCTTTGTGTAAACTTTTTAAAAGAAAACAAATTAAGATTAATTGAATGAATTAATATTTGTGGATTAAACGATTCTTGAAACTATTGGGGATTCTACTACTATAAAGATTTTTGGTTGTTTAGGCCATAAAAGGTAAATAACAAATAAATACAGCAAGCGGAGATCAAAATGGGGAGGCTTGGAGACGAAGCAAAAGGAACGGAGACGGTTTTGCGGGGCCTCGAGGTGATTTTGCGTTTCAGGAGGTCATTTCGCAGGGCTCATGATATTTTTAGTGTTGTAGCTGCAACAATTAATCTCACAAAAAAAATCTATACTCTGAGAGCTCAGCATTAGAAGCTTTATTATTTTTTTTTCAAAGAACGAAATGCGATAAATGCGACATTTTCGACGATTTCCCCATTTCGCTGGAAACCCTTATTGTAGATTAGTGCCTTTTTGCACAAACTGTTGACTTCCGGTCCAGTTTCCGGATATAGAAATGGTGTATTTCATGGATTGATTTACACCCAATATTTTTAAAGAATTCAACAACTTTTTGTGAATTTATTGAATATATCGTACCTACAACTTGTTTATGCTTTTGCAATCTACAAATACTAATGCAGCTTTTTCTGAAAGTTGTTAAATTTTTACTTAAATATGAAAATCTTTAAAAATTAGATATAACAGGTCCTCACTTGTCCCAACAAGCTGTGGCTTGATCACCTTTCGACATATTATACTTAAAGGAATTGAGTGTTTGCCAGAAACTTAAATTTTCTAATTCCTATATCTTTGCAACCTGATGGTGTATTTATAAGTAAATGCGTTTTGAATGAAAAGTTAGAGATAAGCTGAGAGTACAGAGATAAATGAAAGGCTTGAATATGCGATTTTTTCTACAACGGGGTTGATCATATTTTAATAAAACAATTTATTTCAATCTCAATAGTTAAAACAAGAGGTGTTCCATGGCAGCCATGATACATGTTGACAAAATATATCACGCCGTGCCGGTCCTAGTGTGGCTGGGCGTATTAGATTTAACTAGCAGTCTTTATTATTTATTCTATGAAAAAAACCTTAGTCAGTTTAAAGATTATTAAATAATAGGTTAGAAAGCGATTGAATTCAAATTGAAGAAGCTGAACATATATCTTCATAATTACATAATCTTTAAACAGATGTGGTACTTCGGTATATGTATAAAGGAAACAATATATGTTTATCCGGAAATGACCAGTATGCATACGTTTACCCGGAATTAAGCAATATACATATGTTTCGGAAACCATGGACCAAATTTAATTAACAATAAGAACTATAGATAATATAATAGACAGTAGCGGTCTACCAACCTATCAAAAGTGACAGATGAATTTACCTAATACAGGTTCTACTAATATATAGTATGCGTATAAGAAGGCTCAAGGACTCATATATTACAAATTATCTAACCTATTTTCAAAACTGTAACCTTATCATGTTTAGTGTCGTTGTACTTTTATACATCCATTTAACCGAATTTTAAAAAGATGTAACAAAAAAGGGGCATTTTCACTGAAAACTCCTTTAATTATCACCTTCCAGGAAGACTAATGTTCCATTGTATACAAATTCAGATATTTCAATATCAATTTATCTATCGGAGGCAGAGGATACTACTTTACCATGGAATCTGTAACTAATGCATTGTTTATATATTGCATACATTCAGGGGCGGATACAGGAATTTTTTTGGGGTGGGCAAAATTGTTAATACGACTATTTTTTCTTATTTTTAAGGAAAAATTGCTTTTCAGGTTTTAGCTGAACAGCCTATATTAATAACTTTAGAATACTAAAAAGAAAGAAACTAGAGGATGTAATGAACTTTTCATTACAAACATGATGTGCTGCATTTTAATCTTATGCATTTTAGCTCCAAGCATTTATGCATTTATATCTATAATTTTTGCTGATTTCTTAAAGTTTTTTCTCTCGTTTTTCTTTCATTTGATATCTAATCATCAAGTTAGCTAGCTAGCTTAGCTAAAATTATATAGGGCGATCAAGCCACTTTGTAAATTCATAAATCCATATTTTTTGCTGATTTCTTAAAAGTTTTATCTCTCGTTCTTCTTTCATGGAATATCTAATAATCAATTGTTATCTTATCTGAAAATATAGAGGGGAACAAGCCACTGTATAATTTTATAAATGTATAAGTTTCTGTTTGTTTAATAAAGTGTTTGAGAAGAAGAAGTGGTGCATTAAAATCAACGATTATTTATTCAGGGACAGACTGGAAGAAATTAGGGCCTCCAGTGGAAGCCTTTTAGTTCCAGCATCAAATCTTTCTTCAGAGCCATCCTTGGGCTCCGAAGAAGAAGAAGAAGAACAAGAAGAAGAACAAGAGAATAATGGGGAAGAAAGCCAGGATTTAGAGGACATATCTGAAGATTTAGACTTCTACGAAGCAATGAAAACGCCAACAAGTAAAATTTAGTAATTTATTTAACTGAATAATATAATTTCTTTTTAATTAGATATGCTTTCCAAATTTTTCTTTCTCAGATATGAGGAACCAGCGCAGTAAGCTTGCAACCCCTTCTCCCCAACATACTCCAACACGCCCCAGCAACAACAAGACTAAGTCTGAAACCTCCCTAGTAGAGACGGTGTATAGTTCTCTAGGATCTCCAATATACAGTGCTATAGGTATTCCGACTGATGGAAGTACTGCAGGTAGAGATGATTATAACGTTCAGCAGGACTTTATCCAAATGACACTTGGTCTTGATTACCAAACTGCCAAATTAACAGCGGCAGAATTAGTAAAATCGTCTAGTTCCAATGGGGGAACGAAAGAAGATAAGCGACAGAGCCGGGATCATCTTAAGAAACGCCTTCAGGAGTTGGCGTTAACCTCAGATACAGGGTCTGCCTCAGTTATAGAAGTTATAGAACCAGACTCAAGTGAAGAGGAAGAGTTTAAAAAATCCTTTAGTTGGAGTCCTATAGGGGATTTTTCTATACATAGTAGAACAGACAAATCTCTCTTGAGTAACTCTCAGAGTATAAAAAGCCAGCCAAGAGAACTTAATGCTAAATCCCAAGGAGACAGAATTTTAGCTCAGACGGGAAAGCCAACAACAAGACGTCCTCGAGGTTTGGGATCTTCTAAGTCTATTTCACAGACAAGTTATTCTCAAAATTTGGAGAGTAACAATAATAAAAACTGGTTACAAGACCAACTGAAAGTAGAACAAACTGAAGATATGACTGTAAAGTCTGGTCATTCTGCTGCAAAGTCAAACATGAGATTAAATGGATCAACTGGGTCTCCAAACCAGTTCTCGGGACCAAAAAACGGGCTTATGCCGTCACCTGACCTTCTAACGTGTGTCAGAAAGGAAAACGAGGATTCTGACAGTAGACCAGAAAATGGAGAAGAAGAAATATTTTGTGATTACGACACCGAACCATCTCCAGAACTAGAACGTCCTGATTCCATTCTTAGTAATCGGAAGAAAGGATTTCTGAAAAAACTTGCAATTTCAAAATGGGCGGGAAAGAAAAAGATGCCTAAAATTGAACATGATCATACAGAGGTCGATACAATCCCAATAAGGGGTATGGATATTTCATTAAAGAAATCAATGGATGATTTGGATTCTCAAGATGAGCCAAGGAATTTTGAATCCGGGGTTTCCAGGCCCGGGATCCAAGATTCTGTGACAAGAATAGAGGTAGGACAAGGATTTCAGGGCTCAGACACTCTTATAGTCCCGGCAGATGAACTTGATTCACATGTTACTAAATCCTTGTCTCCGGGTTCTCGTAAATCTCTCTACTCCGGCTACATTCGTCCTGATTTCAATATGGCAAAATCGGACGATTCCGGGATCATTGCAACCTCCCGTCCCGACTCGTCTAACCTTCCTGTTCGAAAATCATTTTCTAGCTCCTCCGATCATTCTTCGCAGGGTTCTCCTTCTGAATCTGAGAATGTTTTAGCTCCTAAGAAACGAATTGGGGAGAATGGACTGGATGTGTTCAATGGCGAAGGACCAAGCGTGAGTAGAATAAGCGAGGTTGGCAATCATACCACTATTGTAATATCAGCAGCCGACAATGTCACTACCAAAAATAGAGATGGAGAGCAAAATAATAATTTTCCTGTAAAACCCAGCAATGCAAGGTAAATATTTAAAATAATCTAGCCTTCCAGATCATGTTTGCCCCATTCTTTAGCATTTGTATTTTGTATTATCTTTAATTGTTAATTTATCCGTAAGCCTCTTTATTCTGTACTTAACAAGAAATTAGACCTGATTGCGCAGTTAAGCTGTCCAGAGATTTATTTTATTTTATTTATTACAAAAAGGGGCAAAATTTCATTTACCTTTCATAAAAGATTATGGTCCTAATCGTGATTGTGTATAGGAGAGGTATCAAGACTGAAAAAGCCTGGTATGATGTCTCAGATGAAGAATCAGATATGATAGTTCCTGATCATTTAACAAATATTATTTCGGTCAGAGGATCCAGTGATGAAGATCTATTCTAACATATTTGTATGTGGGTATTTTAACTTGAGCACAACAAATAAGCTTAAGCCTCTTTGAAATAGAGGTGTGCGCGTTCGACTTTTTTTCAATTTGTTCGTCAACGACATATTTCGTATCTTAGTCGTTCAGTAAAAATATGAATCATCATTCGTTTTTTAACTAACGGTTCGATCAATAAAATTGTTCGTTGAGCAAAAACTGATTTTTCGATGAATAAAATTGCTTGTTAAGCTAAATTGTTAATTATTTAGTTTATTTATTTTCAAAAATGTTTTCAATAAACAAATCTTTAATTGTTTAGGATGATAGCATCCATCGTTCACAAAAAAATTCGTTTGTTTCGTAATATTTCGCTTGTCAAACAAAAACTATGCTCTGAAAGTCAACAAATCTCAATTTTTAAAAACTACCCCAAATGTATAATCGTAGCATCAAAACTAACACTAACATACCACCTTCATAATGTTGAGATTGTTTTCCATTTAACGTTGACGCACTTTTATTCTTTGTATTGATTTATATGTGTACAAACTATTCTCGTTTTTCCTTTTTTATAATACTCAATTATAAATGCCTCTTCTTTTAGTACAAAAACAACTAATCCATGAGATGGATTACCTTTCAAAAATTATCTTAAAACTATCAGTTTTACTAAAAATAAAATAAAAATATAAACCACTATAGTCATCAGAACCCGTCTCCGATCTCTTAAAATTAAATTACGATTGACAACACAAGATTAAAAAAGTACTACTGTATCTTCCAAAATGTTATCTGAAAATTCAAACAATTTCGGCTAATTTTAATGGATTTAAAGTTTAAACTGCAGAGACAAAGTTCTTGTTAAGCACTTTAAACACATGACAAGAAAAAGGTTTGTTTTTAATATTATCAAATTTCCATATTCAACTTATGTGCTCCTGAACACTGAACCGTTGATAAAATCCTAAATGTGTAAACATTAATATATATAAAGATAAATTGTAAATAGGAAAATGCAAGTATTTCTTTAAATGCCATACCATCTAGTCGTTTTTTATGTATATTAGTTTTAATTAGTTAGTTATTCTAAATAATAATAAACGTATTTCAGAATAAATATTACCATCGACTTTATCATTAGTTAATGTTCTATAAATGATTTCGTCCATTTGTAGTTTTTGTCATTTCAAAACCCGACGCAGTTTTAACTTTAAATAAGTTTTACAATACTAGAAAAAAATTATGTTTTAGAAAAAATGTGCATTATGGTGTGCGATTTTGTTAAGGAATATGCAATAAATATATGAAGTCATGCGTGGATCGAAGGCAATCTGGGTGCATAGCATATTCTTAAACTAAATTTGAAAAATTATTTTCTCTTATGGTTATAAAACTTTTTAGGAATAATAACCCATCTAGAAAACTGAACAAGTTTAGTGTGAAACAAAATATGATACAATCAGATTCCTTTAAACCAAGAATTGAAATTACCCGTTCTTCATGAAATACTCAAAGTTGAAGATGATAATTTTGTTCTTTACAATTTTGCTGATAATGAGATCGCAACCGGCCATGATTAACTCTTTTTGTTCAGACTAGAAACTAATTGATTTAGCTGACTTATTCTGGTTTTGTCTTATCGTTTTGTACCATTTTACCTTTGTGTACGGAATAAATTTATAATAATAATATGATGTTGGAATTAGTTTCATAAATTGATATTTATATTCGGCACAGGAAGAGTTACTAAAACGATGTTCATAGTTTTTGTGCCCAATTGCGACACTCAGTGTCACAATTTGGCAATTCGCACGGTTTGGAACTTTCTTCCCATGTAATTATAGCAAAATAAAATTTAGTGATTAGATCTTTTTCTCGTTAAAAGATTGTAACGAGCGAAATGATAATGTCGTTCTGAAATTTAAATCAGAATATTTATTGTGTTGAGATTGGATTTGCTGAGGCTTTAGAAGTAGAAACTAAAAATAAATGTACATACAAAAATATTTACTTCCGCCAATGGTCGAAAATAGTTTTTCTTTGGAATTTAGTTTTATGTCCATATTGTTAATAGTGTTTTAAACATTAAATAATCCTATTCCCTTACTAATACTGCATCAACCTAGGATGATCATTTTAGGTACTTTTGAAATAGAGTGTTAGTGACTATCCTAAAGTTTCTCTGCCAGAGTCTTTTGTTCCTGAACTAGTTTCTTAATTCAAAATAGAGCTAGGATGTATATGTATAGTATTCACCCGTCTACAAGCCGATGATGAATTTTAATTCTAAGGATGACTACGAATGTAGATTTATAATCAATTGGAAATTGCATCATAAGCTGTTAACAGACAATTAAATTCTCAGATAAGGCATGTACATTTACAGATTTACCAACTCTGTCTTCACGTTCAGTTTTATACAAAGAAAGGCAAATTTAATAACACTAGAAATTCAGGGCGCCCTTCTTTCTAGACTTTTAGGGCGCTTCGCGCCCATCTTCTATTTCAACTTTTAATTGTGGCTTTATCTCTGAACATCTTCTCTTTGTTCAGTATAAAACAAAAACAAAAATAGTTTGCGGATTTCATAATATTTTTTTGCGCATTTTCAAAATTTTTCAAAAATAAAAAACTTTTAAAACATAAATTTTTAAAATTTTGATCATTCATAAACCTTCCCTGGGGTCACGTGAGGTCTCACAAAGAATTTGGGCCCGATCGGTTCAGCCGTTTTGACGTTTATTGGATACAAACAAACAAACAGACAAGCCAAATTTATACATAGATTTCACTTGTGTATTATGTACAATACCACCAATTCACAATTCACAATAATAGTTATATTAGATATATACTTAGATTTGTGCTTTTATTGCATTTCATTTTTCAAGCATTTCACAAAAACCATGTTTTGTGAATTGGTGGTAGTCTAGTTAGATTTGTACATGATGCACCTGTGTAATGATATAAAATTTGTTTATTTATATATAAAGCTGCAATAGTTATGCCAAGTTTAGGAATTCGTGAAATTTAGAACAACAAAATATGAAGTCTATAATTTCATTGAAAGTAGACTTTTTAATACAAATTTTTCATGTCCATGTTGATTTTTCTAAAAATAAAGGCTTTTGGTGGATGTAAAAGCCAACTATTTGATATGGGATTGCTAGACGTGGAGTCAAGTTGGTTAGCATGGCGGAAGTTACAAGAGACTCGAAAACGATTTTGTTTGGCTAGGAGGCCATTCTGCGAATCATGAGGCTCCGGAGGTCGGTTCGCGGGGCTCATGGATGATCTGCTATAGCGAATTGAAAATTCCATGCAGGAAAAGGATTGCAAAATACGAAATATAAAAAATAGTTTTTTTTAAATCGTTTTTTTATCATCATGTATCTAGTATTTGAAAGATGCGGTTTCTGCAACAAATGAATTTACTCTAGATTTTTAATCACATGTTAACTCTAATTAAAGATTTGTTCAGATTTCTATACTTCTATATATCGACATTTAGTATGTTTTTCAAATCCTATTAACACAGCTAGAACAAGAATAGCTTAAAAGAGAATAAATATTAAAGAAAACCATGCAAAGGATTAATAGTTACAATTTTTTGAGATAGAACAAACACGTTTATTTTAAATCTTAAACTAAATTGGTTTCTATTTTAACTGGGCTTTGACATTGATAAAAACTAAATTATTTGTCAACATTCTTTATTTCATTCTTCAACAGAGATTTCCCATCCAACCATCTCCAGTTTAGATCTATGGCCTTACGGAATTCTTCCCTGAACAATGCACGCATAATTTTCAACATTATTTTTCTTGAAATATATCAGAAATATGTGCTGTCCGCATCGATTGTTTTGTAAATTAACAATGGTTCGCTGTAAGTGGTATTGGTATATCTCTTCATTTGTCTTCAATATTTGGATAATCACAACCTTAAAAAAATTGCATTGCCAACTTTTACCTTGTTAGGCAATTGATATGAACACCAACTGCTTGGTCAAAGTCATCAGCTAACATTGTTCTAGGGTTAAAAAAATATTTCATTTTGTTGACGAGTGCCATTAAAATAAAAATACTTAATTATTTCCTGGCGGAAATACCGGTCTTCTGAAACATCTAAATATCAAAAAGCTGAATAAAATATTTTTTTATGTTCCTGAGTGAATTTGCCATATCGGTGCAGGAGCTTCCATCTTTTTTAGGTAGAGTCAAGCCACAAGAACTAGATAAATTTTGATTTTAAGAGATCTGGAAAGATATCAAAACAAACATTTTTCAAATGCTCATAAGCAGAAAATAATACCTGAAAGGATTCGTCGGGTCCATCATCCAAAATCTAAAAAAAAAATCTTTATAAATACTAAAACTGATAAATAATCAAAATAATAGAAACTACAGAAATGTAATTTTAACCTTTTATTGCTAAATAGTAATTATTGGCAAAAATAAATAGTTTTGCAAAAATAATAATTTTGAAGAGGATTTAAAACATAGTCCAATGAGATAGAAGTCAGCAGTTTGCTTTAGGCACTTAAAGTTGAACAATTCTGTAAATCACAAAACCCAGTTTGTTGTTGTTTTGCGGGTTTTCTAGGGAAACCAAAATGCTCAATACTTATAAAATCTGAATTCCCGTGCAAGATTTTTCTAATGTCTGAAAGACTTTAAAAAAATGTTTCAAAATCAGAAGATCAAAACAGAACATCTTTTGCTCAAACTTCAAAAGGTTCTGTTGTCAAAATATATTTTTTTAATTTGTACAAATCTGCAAATGAATATTTGAAAATTGTTTAAAAATTTTCCCCCTTTAAAACGAAAGGAATAGGAGTTTACCAATTCTTTTAAACGTAATAATAATTCGAGGTAAAAAGCTTGAAAGTTATTGTCTCACTTTTTTAGTTATCCTGTTTCTAGACTGTAGCTTATTTTATATTTACCTATACGGTGGAAGAGCATTGTTGGGGGAATTCGGGCTACTTGCAAGTCCCCATTTAAACAATCTAAATTATGTCATATTTATGTATTTTTTTTTCCACAATAAAGAATAATAAAAACAAAGAGTGTAAAATCGACAGATGTACAGATATATGATTTACTAGCTGAAAGGCCCTGCGATGCCACTGAAAAAAAATTTGAAGAAAACTAAAAAAAAAACTATTTTATAGCCTACGTTACCCCCAGGTTACCCATGAGTGCATACAATAAAATTCGGTACAGCCATTTCGCCAGCCAGAGGGAACATATATAAGAATGTCTTTTGTTATTATAAAGATATTGTAACTTTGAAATTTATTTATTTGTTTACGATGTTTATCTATATACCCTTATCCAACAAAGATATATGCTAAAAAAAGGACTGGGGTTCAAAAAAATTTCACTCGAAAGAATTTGTTAAAAAAGTTAGAAACAAAAAAACAGATATTTAAAAAAAAGATTTCAGGGAAGTTCAGAATGCAGTGGCTCAAGGGGGGAGTGAAGAAGTTATCAGCCAACCAAACGTGCTTTGCGGCATACGCGCCCCCCAATTAGTAATTATCACCACCTCAATTTGTAATAAAAAAAAGTTTGCTTTTTTCTTAGAATTAAGACAATATTGACCTCTACTTTCCCATTTTTCTAAATTTTCCGTACCTTCTATACATATATGTAGTTTAGTTATAGATGTTAAACCCAAGTATTTACTGACCAAAATCTAAACGGGGTGAGCTAATTTTTTTATTGAACTGGCACCTTTTAGTATATTAACTTCAATTATTAAATGCAGTCATTAAATCTTAACCGTGGATCTAAGATTCAGCACAAATGGCTTATTTCTCAGTTTTTGTTGACCAAGCCAATCTGAAAAAAATTTTAAGTTTTTTTGAACCAAAAGACATGCCAATTGACAGATGTTCAAAATAGTATTGAAAAGGTATTAATTTGACATCTCAGAATTTTTTTTGCTGTAATTACAAATTGAAGTGGTGGTGGATTACAAATTGAGGAGTGCGCAACTGCACATACTGCTAAATTCGTTTGGGTGGTGCTGACAACAAATTGAGGACTTCTGCACTCCCCCTGCACAGTGTGGACTCGTATAAGGGGGTTTGGACCTAGGCTTATTCAAAAATGAGTAATCAAGTTTAAAAATGTTTAACAAATAAGATAATTCTTATTTATAAGATTATCTTTTAAAAAAAATAATGGAAATCATATACAGGGTTGCCAAATTTTTTTTGAAAACATCCGTACAAAAATCCGTACATTTTCAGAAGAAATCTGTACAATTTTCGAAAAAAAATCCGTACAATCCGTACAATTTTCGAAAAAAAAATCCGTACAATCCGTACNAATTTCAGGGGATTTACACTTTATAAGATATATTTCACTTTAGTTTCTCTCTGAATCTCTTCACAGGTTTTGAAACTTAAAACATATGAAAAAAGGGAAAAATTTAGCAAATATATAAAATAGAAATGTTAAGTTTTATGAAAATAATAGTTTTTGTTTAAATGTTTTTTTTCTCATATAATTTGTAATTTCGCTGCAAAATGCAGGCCCCTTTTCTCAATTTAATCAGATCAATCCCCTCTTTCTCCACACTGTGCCTTGGTGGCTTACCTATGCATAAAAGAAAAATATGGTGCAAATGAAGCTAGGAACCTTGACCCTACCTTCTTAATAGAAATTTAAGACTTACCTTACAAAGTAACTGTCATCAGTGTACTCGTCAAGCCTCTTCTTTGGATATGCAAAAATTCCCCCATCACTAAAATACTAAAAGTGTAAAAAACGAAACCAAACATGCAGAAATTTTCAACCTGATTGAAAATGCAAACATGATAAATCCATAATAAATACTAAGCTGTAATAATAATCTACTTTGAAGAGCTGAATAAACTTACTCGAGTGAGTACACCAAGTCAACCTCTGAAAATAAATATTAATGGTCAATGCTTAAGAATGTTTTACATTTTAGCTTTAATGTTTTTAAAAAGTATTTAATGGGTTTGATGTTGAAAAAAACTATAAAATTTTAGTTTTAAAAATTAAGGCAAAACTATATTTCTGATTTTGAAAAAAAAACATTTTACACGTAACCAATACTATTTTCCTAGTGCAGTTTTATGTGCAACAACAACCAAAGCTGATGTAGCACAGTCGCCATTGATGTAGTGGAATTTAACACCTAAACATGACAACATATTAACAGCAATACATTTGAGAGAAAAACAGAATAAATTTAAAGTAGTAAAAAAAATTGTCCCTAACCTTAAGTTTGGACAACTAAAAGTCTTATGATAATTTGATGATTAACTCATATACCTTCCTCGGACAGAAGTTTATTTAATCTATCAAGGTCATTCTCCTTTGTGTAGTCAAAGTCCAGATTTTCTTTATTCATATTCTTCACAGTTTTTAACTTTAGCCATGCATCCTTAGAACCCACAAGAGTGGCATCAGGAAATCTTAATTATATATACAAGGTGAGTAAAACAAGGGGGAATAGCATTGATTTCCACAAACCTAAGTTTTTTTGTTTTAACTGTTTAAGTTGATATAACTTAATTATCAAAATGCCAACAATTTATTGGCATTAGAATTAAAAGTCTGCGAAATATTGGCTTTTTCAAAAATATTTTTTTCTTCAGAAATGAATTGGAGAGTATTTAGGCTTTTCTGTTTCAAATCCATTAAAAAATAAAAGAGATAAAACAAAAATCCAAGACAATTTTTAGTGACATTGAAAATAAAATTTACAGTTTAAATAACAAAGTTGTTTTAATAGAAAAAGAAATTTAATAATAGAAAGTTTTGACGTTTATTGGATACAAACAAACAGACATACAAGCCAAATTTATATATACATAATGGTAGTTTTAGATGTGTTAGAAATGGGCCAAGTGTTAGTTTTGGAACTAATGTCAACTGCATAAGTAAAAAAGAAAAATTTAAATCCATTATCAATGAATAGAATATACCTCTTCATGACATCTTGTACTTGCAAAGTGTGTGCACTGGATCCTAGAATAGTTAAATTAAAGTGACTGAGAAAATTAAATGCAATTGTGAAAATATTTAACGCATTGTACAAGGGTTTGCTTTTGTGAAACTGGGATTCACATATTTTGAACCATCATATTTTCATGGAAATCAAAATTAACTGACAAAAACGGGATTGAATACTTTTCAAGGTGATTGATGTTATCATTTTTTTTATCAATATTCTAAATATATATTTTTCTTTTGATATAAATTTCATTTAAGTATAAATATTATTAAAGCTTTATTTTACAAACGATTTGCTGTCAGAAAGTCATGGTGACAAATGTAAAACAATTTTCTTCTTATTTTTTACACCATTTTTTTCTTATGTAATCTGTTAGTCTGGAGAGGTATGATCATAATTTCGGATAAAATAAACAAAAAAAATACCTAGGACAATCCATTTCACAGTTCCGAGTGAGTCTAACCAGGGTCCTAGTGTTTCCTCTCTAACCTGTTATAGAACTAATTTTTAATGCTTCATAAATAACGTGGTTTCTCTTTGATCAATAACTTATATCCAGTTTTTATTTTCCTCGACTGTAGTAGAAATTTAAAATTTTTCACTTGGGGTATATACAGTGATACACAAAATCATAATTCAATATCAGGTCAACATTTTATGGTTAATGTGGTGGCTGGTTTACAAGGTGCGTGCATTTGTGTTAAATTTTAAATATTTTTAATTAGCACATCAGCGTAATAGTTTTTAGTTGTAATTTTTGTTGTTGTTGCTAAGTTTCGTCAATAATTTTAAATAAGCCTCCATTTGAAATGACATGTCTAATTTACAATAATACCCTTTATGCTTTGTCTTATTTAAAACATATGAAAAAAGGGAAAAATTTAGCAAATATATAAAATAGAAATGTTAAGTTTTATGAAAATAATAGTTTTTGTTTAAATGTTTTTTTTCTCATATAATTTGTAATTTCGCTGCAAAATGTAAGCAAAGGCCTCTTTTTGTCAATTTAATCAGATCAATGTCCACTTTCTCTACACTGTGCCCCGGAGCCTCATTTTAAAGATTTTAAAAGGGGCAGGTCAACTTTCTGGGATATCCACCACCTGCCCCCCTGACAGTTTAATAAAGTTCACCCCCCCCACGTTCTTACCTTTTCATTGTTGATTGTTTGTTCGCGCTTCAATTAAAAATTTAAATCTTAAAAATGTCAACATGACAATGCANACACCATAACAAACACACACCATAACAAACAGACACCATAACAAACAGACACCATAACAAACAGACACACACCATAACAAACAGACACCCAGACAGACACGCAAAGTATATATATAAATATAACCTTGCAAAGTATATATATAGATGCTATGAGTTGTATTCTCAAAAAAAAACTTTCATTTTGATAACCTTGCAAAAATCCAATTTTAAAATATTATTATAAAATTCAATTTCGAGGAGTCACAGAAAAGGTTTAATGTGTTATGTTTTAAATCGGACATGCTAAGCTATACAGACTATATATATAACTGGGCGTATATGGAAAATTGTCGTTTTAACATGGAACACATGGAATTTCCATGCAATTAATGATGCCCTCTCCATCATTGCCAACAATTACCAAACTCATAAAAATGCGTTTGTAAAAGTATTGAAATGATAATTAATTAACGGACATTAACGAACAAACTTTAATTGATTGAAAACACATTATTGAATGGTCAAGATGTTAAATATTTAAACCTCCTGTATTAAAGAAATCATATAAATTGTCGAGTTTTGAATTTGATTTACAGTGTTATTCTAAATAAATCGGAATAAAATCAACTGATTGAAGACTTCAAAGTCGTTTTTGACCTAAGAAATAGACACCCAATTTTAGCAATATTTGTTTATGACAAAATTATCACAAATAGCCCTAGTCCTGCTATTTCTAAAATGTTGTTTGCCATTTTTCTGATTTTGAAATTACCAGAGATATGAACTATTTCGTTCAGAATTAGGCAGAATTGAAAAACCAAAATTCTTATTATCTCTAGTATATTTACTATTTATAAAGCAAAAAACTTGCACACCACGTTTTGAAAATAGCATGAATAGGGCTATTTTGTTATTGTTTAAAAAAAGGTGCTAAAATTCGGTTGCCATAATCAATGACAAAAACTATTTCTAAGGTCAAAAACTTGTATCTGCACTGCATCATAAGTTGTTCCGTGAGTTACTTTCACCGATCTTCCCCCCTCCCTTTTACAGCCCTTCTCTCGCAATCCCCTTGTCCCCCTAAAATAATATACGACACCCCTCCCTACCCATTTGATCCCCTCTCTGCAGTTAACTACCCCCTCCCCTCCCCACATCATTGTATGTATCCATATTTTCTAACAAATTCCTGAATGAATTTAATTCTTCATAATTACTGTAGGGGGAGATACGTCCCCTTCTTTTCATAATTATGGAGCGTCTGTTTTTACCCGTATTATGTTGTTTTAAACCGAAAGTTCTAGAACTAAATGAGTTATAATTACTCCATGGTGAAATTTGTCCCCCTCTCTTTGAACCCCTGTTCTCTATTAGAGCCAATCAGATCTCATGCAATGCAATTATTATAATTAAGATAATCAAAAAGTCACCCTACTCTTTTATCCCCACCAATAGGAACCCTTACTACCCAATTATGTATCATTATAAATATCAATAACCAATCAAAATCTGAATAGCCTAATTATCGCGCGCAGTTCCTGCTCCCTTGGGAGTGTAAAAAGGGGCTTGATTTCTCCCCAAGCCTGAGTTCAGAACAGAAATTTCTCCAGAGTGAAACTGCGTGTGATTCCGCCTATTCAGGTTTTGAAGTTTTCTTTATTACTTTTGCTTTTGCTCCCCTTTTCTATTTCCAAGTTTAGTTTAGTTCTTTTAGATTGATTCTTTTACTTTGAAGGCTCGTATTCATGTATGTTCTCCCTAGTACTTATTTTTTAAGGATTTATATTGTGTCAGTTTCAAAGATAAATAAAATATCTTCTATGCTTTTAACTTGTTTATTTGAGACCAGAACTTTGAGCTCAGTTTTATTTCAGGCAATATAAGGAATCACAGTAGTCAATAGTCGAGCAGTTTTTATTTTAGAATTGAAAGGTTAAGCTAGAATTTAAAAGATTTGTCATTCTCTTACATCATGATATCACCAAATCTTGTACATCTTACAAGGAAAATTCCGGCCTGAAAACTACACGATAAGTCCTATAAATCCGTCTCTACACCTTTCACCTTAACCCTACACTAATTAACTATTTTTATCAATCATTATTATAAAACATCAGATAAAACGATCAACTATCAGTCATGATTAAAAAAAATATTTTTGGAACTCAACGATTTTGAGAACAGATAATGCTGGTAAAGTCCCTCCTCAACGAACGATTTATCAATATCAATGTCACCTAAGAAATTTCACCAACAGTCACGCTCCTGTCCATCCAATATATCCAAGGATAACGCCATAAAGAATTACCTGTACTGGAGAGTACAGCATGATGTCACCATTGTCTAGCTTAACAACAATCATGTTCATGATCCAAGGACCAGCAGCTCTTATGGTTTCTTTTGTCTTTCCTTCTTTAGCTATCAGCTCTTTTATCTGTCTGCATGTTTCCAGATCCTTCAGGGCCTACATTACAAGCAATAAAATAGCTTATTATCTAAAAGAATTAAAAAGTGAATATAATTCACCTATTGTCTGAAATTATTCACCTGAGCTGAAGCAATTCGTCCAGATGCTTCAACGCCCTGCATAACCTTCCAAGCTGACTCTTCGTCATCAAAACTCATCCCAAGCATCTTACCCATTGCACTGCCCTCTTTACTAAAGTACTTAGGTACAATGAAAAAAAAGCAAACAACAAACTTTCGTTAGTGTTCTGCCTTACTGCATAAATCAAAGCATTCAAAAATTAAATTGGTTACTAGTACAATAATCTTTTCTAAAATATTTAGAATAAAATTGATTCCTTTACCTGAATGCAAGAGAATTTTGAAGCTTATATTCCACCTTCCAGACCTTATTCTTCACAACCTCGTCGATTTTGTATGGATCTTCATTAAATACATCAAACCAGTCAACTATTCTTTCCTCCTTTGGCCCGGAGACCTTAATTTTGTTAATAAGGTTCTGATTTTTGAAAATAATTTAGCTCTTCCCTACTCTTTTTCCAATGATAGTAGGTGCCAATTTAACCAAACATTTTGTTAACAAACAGAAAAAAACCCATCAGTTTTCAAATCGTTAACAAACAAAGTACGGAAATTATTTTAAACTAGCTTGGGAATCCAGCACGGCCCAGGTCACTAAAAGTTACTCCCGCCGTTTACCCGCACTTAACTGATTTTACCGGGAAACTAAAAACCCAAATTTCAATTTGTTGGACTTAATTTTCAGATATAGAAAGCATTTTTAAATGTTGTCTACTCATATTGTAGATTTACCTTAGCCATAAAGTTTTCTCGCATAGAATGAGGAAGAGCTTTCACTACAGCATGTATCAATGGCAAAACGTTAACTCCAGCAGCCTCCATGCGGGGTGAAGCAACCTCTATAGGAAGCGGGGTTGCAGAGTCTAATAACAAGTTTTGTATTGGTGGTATTTTGTTTGTCCTTCAGCATTTTGTTCTATATTCCCTACATGCAACAAAAAAACTTAAACAGCAGGCTTAGTAACTCGGTCAAATTTTAAACATGTAATTATAAAAATTTTAATACTTCTTTTGCCCTACTGTAATTTTTTTTCAGAATTAGCGTGGCGTCCCTCTCAAAGTGTGCTACATTTTCCCTTTCACATCTATTTTAAATTATTGTTCCGCAAGTTTCCTTTCTTACTTTATGATCAAGCTTTATCTTTTATTCTAGATAAGTTTCAACCAAAATAAAAAATGTCAGTGATAATCAACAAGAACATTATTAAGCGTATTTAACTTGATATAACAATAGGCAATCTTAACTTACCAATGTAATAGTTTCCTGCAATATAGCTGACTAACCCTCCAACAGAGCCTAGCAAATATTTGCTTGCCATTTTGAAAGTTCTGAAATGAATGTATTTCTATATATACAGTATATATTTTGTTAGCTAAAATTCAAAAAAATTGAATTTAGTATAAAAAAAAATATTTTTTATTTTTTTAAAAGAGATTTTTTTGTCCCCAGGACATGATCGGGTTGTTACAATCAAATCTTGGAATTTTTCTATTGTGAAAGTTTGGTGTTGTAGGTTTTTTTTGTAATGATCTGCCAGGGGTTGTAATCTTGCAGCACATTCATCCATCCATGCTTCATTCATACTGAGAAGAGGGTTGACAAGAATCCAGATATGATACTGATAAGAAACATCACACTCATTGCTCCCTAACATGTAATCCCGGATTGGATACCCCCAGGTACCTATAGCTGGCAACCATAGACTCTCCCTGCTTGTCCACCAATCCTCTCTTCATCATCATTCACTTGGATCAATCCACTTAAAGCTTCATTCTTCTTGAGTAGAAAGCACGCACCTTTTCGCTAAGAGAGTTTTTGACAGCCGCCCCTCTGTCCTACTACATCCGTCAGGTGGTCAAAACTGCTTAACCAGATGTCGGCTTCAGATGTTTTTGAAACCACAGGTTTGTGTGCAGTACGGGAATCGAACCCGTGAACACCAGTCTGGACACCAATCCAGTTACTGGCTGTGATCTAACGAGAACTGGTGTCACACACTATCCACCCCGCCCAACAAAACATTATAAGTCTTTTTGGATTTAAAGTAAGATAAAAAACATTCATAGATATATTTCTAAAAGTAAGATTTTTCAATTTGTTTTGTATCCCAGCCGCTGTGCTCGGCCCACATTTTGTCCTGACCAAACCAAAAAATTCGAATTCACTGAACCCCAATGATTACCAATATCTGAGGTCAAGACGGCTGGGCTACCAGAGTAAGTAAACATTTTTTAAGATACAAAGAAAAGAATTAGGCGCCAGCAAAGTGCCAGAGAGGGAGAGAAGTTAAAGGAATTGAGTCTTTGCCACAAATCTCAATTTTCTAATACTTGTATCTCTAAAACCAGATGGCTTAAACCTTTCATATTTCAAACTTTGATTATTTAATCCATCAGAGTTCATAGTTTGAAATCTCTAAGGTCTACAACATTACATTTACAACAATAAAGGGATTAAGAAATCAGAGTTTGTGAAAATGACTCAATTCCTTTGAGAATGGAACATCAGAGACATCCTGGTTAGACCAACAAGAATACCAGAAGAAAAAATAGCTTGGTGGTCTGTTTTGACCTCTTGACCATGACTAGGGTTTTCACAAAATGAACATATTTTTGAGCAAAACCGGAAACATTGCGCAAAACATGACATTTTTAAGCCAATTGCCCAAAATTGAAAGTTGCAGTAGAGAATAAAACAACTGAAGGCTTATTAAAAAGAATCTGTGTTCAGTGTATTTATTCAGGGGTTTCCTCAAAATGAACATATTTTTGCGCAACACCGGAAACATTGCGCAAATCATGACATTTTTAAGCAAATTGACCAAAATTGAAAGTTTCAACAGAGAATCAAAAAAGAATCTGTGTTCAGTGTATTTATTCTAAATATTATAATTGCAACATTTGAAGTTTGAACACAATTGCAAACTTGTTTATAGTAGCATGCAGTTAACGGATATAGTTGGACAGTAAATAAATAAATAATATCAGGCGTCAAGAAAATAAAGCTTATGAACATAATTTAATCCTTTTCTAATTTGAAAGAAAAATCGTGGTGAACGATTATTTAAAGGCCGGAATGCATTTTAATTTAATATAAGAAAATACTTCAAATTTTCTTTCTAATTGCTCATTAATAATTTAGTTTCTTGACATCATCATTCATACAACAAACAGGTTAAACACACTTAAGTCCTAAGTTTTGGGACATAATATCAAACCAGATCAAGATTTTTGCTTTAAAATTCGTATTTAATTTTTTTAACCATTAATTTTGTTTTATTTCAGGGTCTCTCGTTACCTTGTCTTGAGTGGAATAGAAAAATCGATTGCCTAGAGCTCCTAGAGCAAATTCTAACTTATTCTTTTTGAGGGAAAATTTCCAACCTGTGAATGCAACTACTTTTTAATAATTATACCTTCCTAGTTTTTCAAGTTTTATAATTTTGTAATTTTATATTACAGTGATAACCAGAGAACTCCGGAATAGGAAGATGACTTTAAGTCTCCAGACCTTAAATAGTCAAATGATCATGAAACGCAGGAATAGTCAGTTTAATCATAATAATTGACTTTATAAATTACTGATTAAACTATTTGCTTTATAATAACATCTAATGCAATTAACTACTGCTTTAATGTGGTTTTTATTAGTACTAAGTACTTTATGGGGTCACGACTGGTTTTTGTCATAATACTCCTCTTAAATGCATTTGACTTGTGTTTCATTGTGAAAATGGACAAAACAATCTTTTCATTTACAAAAATTGTATCAATTGTAGCTAGCACTGAATGATTTCTACTATTGGAATATAAAGGAAAACAAAGTAAAAAAAGTATCAAAGGCTAGAAACAAGTTTGAACAGGTAATTTACATAGAAAAACTGTGATTATGGTACTTTTCATGACTGGAGTCTTAGCTACAAAATCTGATTTTCTAATCCTTATTTCTTCGCAACCCCATGTTGTAGACCTTAGATGTTTAAAACTATTGATTCTGTTAAGTCAAATAATCCCACAAGATGTGAAAAATGCAAAGAACCTGAATAGTTTCAAGAATAAACTAGATGAATGGCTAAACTACTGAATGGCCAACATAGACAAAAGATTGAGATGTTTTAATTATCACACCAGTGATACAATAACATAAATTCACCAATTAAACCAATTAAACCAATGTTAGGTAAAATAATCCAACTTTGAAATATCTAACATTACATCATCAGATTAAAAAAATATAATAGGTTAGACCATTTGAGTTTGTTGCAAAGACTCAATTTCTAATAAAATAGAAATTAGAGACCGACAAACTTGGTAATAATCCTATTAAACTGACTGTACGCCTAATTTCAACTCGAAGCAAAGATGGCAATGCTCGATTCACAACAGTACCCTTAAGGTGTTGCTAATCAAGTATGAGTTAGATATCCATTTTTGTTTTTAAAACTTTTATTTTTATTTGCATGGGTTCTCTGCACAAGCGATAGAGAAATTAACAGAATTGAACACTTTTAGAGTCCAAAAAACGAGGTTATCTTACCCCCCACCCTCCGTCAACCCCTCTCAAATCCCTCCTGATCATCTCATCCTACTGTTCACCCACAGGTTTCGTACTGCAATCCAGCAGAAGAATTTTGAAGTCATAGAATGTACCAACATATTACTCCAGAAAACACTCTAGTCAAACCTTGATTTCCTTATGTATGACTGCTCCGCCGTCTGCAAGACTGCCTTGAACCTTCTTGACACCCACGTCACCAGTCACCACATCCTCCACCAAATCTGACCCTCTTACCAATCCAGGGTCATCTACCAAACCAGATTTCTCATATGCACCTAAGTCTCCAACCAATCTAGACCCTCTGTCCAACCCAGGGTCTCCAACCAGCCCAGTCAAACCTGACCCTCCGATTGTACCAAATCCTCCAAATGAACCAGGCTCTCCTACCAAACCAGGTTCCTCAAATTCACTGGTTTCCCCAACCTATCCTAACCCTCTTATTGAACCAGACCCTCCGTCCAATCCAGGAGCTTCGACCAACCCAATCGAACCGGATCCACCAACCTACCCTAACCCTCTTATTGAACCAGACTCTATGTCCAATTCAGGGTCTTACAACCAAACCAGGCTAACTTGTTTCTCCAACCGATCCCAACCCTACTATTGATCCTGACCCTCTGACCAAAATCCAGGGTCTCCGACCAATCCTAACCCTCCAACCGACCTGAAGTCCCCAACCAACCCTACTCCTATTGAACCAGACTCTCTGTCCAATCCAGGGGCTCCAACCAACCCACTCGAACCTGAACCTGATCCTCCAACCAATCCTAACCCTACGACCAATCCAGCTCATCCGATTGAGCCTGACCCTCTCGCCAAGCCGGCCCGACCCATCGAGCCTGATCCCCAACTAACTCGGATCCAATCCTACCGCCGCCTCAAGCAACTATTCGCGGAAGAACGGAAAACTCCAGGGAAGCAAGGAATCTAGCTCCGGGATCAACCTCACTGCTATAATAGATCCGGATTGAGTTCCATGCAGATCACACCGAAACTGACCAACAGAATTCCATTCTAAACTCAAACTAGAACTCCACCCAAGATCAAACACAGGACTCCATTTAAAAAAAAAACATTTTAATCTTATAAACACACAAATTCAGCTTGCTGAATCTTCCCCAAAAAATTGACAATTCCTGACTTTCATGCAAATTTTCCCCAAAATAAACCAATGTTTCTTGAATTTTACGCAAATTCACACATTTCAATATCAAGATTAGATTATTCGATTCAATTTAAACAATTTATTTCTTTTCGGTTTCTTTAAATTCCTTTGATTTAATTTAAATTCGTCTGATTCAATTTATGATCGTGACCCGCCGGAATCTCAGTTCGACCACTCTCATCAGGCAACAAGGAGACCACAACAAACTGTTACTTTTATTTGTGAATTAAGCAAATTTATTTGCAAACCAACACAGGAATCAATTATTTAAACATTTTAATTTCTTTTTTTTTGTAGAAAACAAACAGAAAAACGTTTCAATTAAGATTACTTAAATTTTTCCTAAACAATACAAATAAAGAACATTAAAATTAACAATTCTTGAAGTTGGCGCAATCACTCGCATTTCTATACTAAATTAAATAAGCATCTCTTCAATTTGAATTAATCCCTTCATTTTAACTCTTTAATTTAATTTATGATCAAGATCTCAGTTTACATATTGATTTTTTACTCTTCCTTTAAATTATTTTGGCAAACAATTCACAGGAGAGTGTGCAACATTTTATTTCATTGTTTTAATCTTATCAATTATTCGCCTGTTAAATACAGTATTAATTAATGTACCTACAATAGAAACAAGTACCTTGTAGTATTCATCTGTTTATTTCAATCAATCAATCTAGTGACTATCAATCAGTCAAACTACATTGTCAATGGTTATCCTTTTAATTCTCGTATGTTAACCTAACACCCTCGAACCCTGTCTGGGGCCAGTGTCAACCATTAACTATGCTCCGTGTAAAGTCGTCTTTAACTTAGATCCCCTCTGGGAGACACACCAAACCAAACAATTTTAACCTCCTTTTCTTTGTTCTCTCTGTCAGAGTATAAACAACCTAGAGTATTGTGAATCCATTTTCAAAAGCTAAACAAATAATATTTTCATATAAAGATTTAGTGACTTTCGTTAATAATTAATTGTCATTTTATTTCAGAAGTTTAAAAACGTCTTAGTACTGTCCAACTATTTAACCCCTTTGTTATCAGCAAATAGATCACAAGAATTTTTTCATTATAAACATTAATTAAAAAAGTTTTATATGTTATTATTTATGTAATTTTTTCAGGAAATAAAGAGAAATCTTCGTTATCGATTTTGAACCAGTGGGGTAATTCTGTTGTGTGTCATTTCATCTTAAGAATCTTGTTGTTATCCGCCAACAACTAGTCATTTACAGATACACTTAAAAAACCCTTTAAACTATAAACCCTGAAGTCTCGCAGCAACTTAGGATTTTAAGAAATTTTTAAGAATTTTTTAAAGCAATTTTTTTTTAATTTTGGATCTTTTACAGAAAAATAAATTTTTAAAGAAAGTACAAATTTTGTCGAAACATTTTTTTGATGAATAGTTAATTAATAATGAATTTATGAATTGAAAAAAGTCTAACATGCCCTTTTTCAAGCTTTGCGGGGTAATTCTGCGTTTGGAGACTGTTAGCTAGTACTGCTCCGTACCAAGATGACCAACCAGCGGTGGTCCCGCCTTCATCTAGGAGATATGAAGCAAACTTGAGAGATATATAAAGTCTTTAAATTGTATGAATACTTTTGTCTGTTCCTACACCCGTGACAGGCAGTTTCTAACTGAGGACGACTAGCTTAAAGTGTATAATCTGGCAACACAGATAAGAATAAGCAGATAGTATACTAGGGTTTCCGCCTAAATGGAAAAATCGTTCGGCGAAAAAAGAATTTCGCCGAAAATTTTCGTTTTCATGGGAAATTTCGCAATTTTTTCGCAAAGTTGTGGCATATTTTTCCTCACGAAATTCCGCAGTCTTCGCAAAAAATGCGATATTTCGCTTGGAAACCCTAATATATAAAGGTTCGAAACCCACCAGATCCGTAAAAAATGTTATAAAGCCTCATGAAATTTTAAAAACAATTTTCTCAATTTTAAAAATTCTAAAACTGTTGCTATTGGAACAACATTTTGAAAGACTTCATTATTGAAAATTGAACTGATAAGTAAAGAAAGTTGAAGACTAAATTTTATGGGGTTCCAAATAAGATCTGTGAGGTTCGGCAAGATTTTAAAGACCCCTCCATATACATAAACCTCAATCCTTGGCGATTGTATGTAGTTAATTGACTTAACATTGCTGGGGGTGGGTGGGTCGGGGACAGGTCTAGTCTGCAGTCAATTCAAAATCAACTCAAATTATTTATTTCATGCTAATACTTACATATATTATTTAAGTCATTAGCAAAAAATCTTTATCATTCTTTCTGAAATAATGTTATTCACTTTATTTCATATTCTTAACGAAAAAAAGAAAAATCATTTATTTTTTTATGTATACCTTTCTTATCCAAATCACAATTTTAGGTCAATGTTAAATCACATAAAATAATTTTATTTTATAGTTCTAATTTTATTGGAATACGACTCACTTAAATTTCCCGCACATAATTTGAAACATCCTCGTGTACTTTTACAGCTATAAATTGATTTAATCGAAGTTAAACGTGACATCCAAGTCGATAGTGTATCTAATGCGAACCAATAATTTAAACATAGTATATGCACGTGTACTAAATGATTAAGATATGAGGATAAGGGAGGGGTTGATAAGGGTTAAAAGAAGGGTGAAAGTAATGTAATTCTTTTGTTTTGTTGTGTATTTGAAATAAATGCATGTTGCTTCCTGGATCGATTCAATATTATGAAACAGATAACGGTAGTCTGTCATTATCTTTGTTAAACAATCATGTAGGAATGACTAAATTAAAATTTTATTTTTTAAAAACAATGTCCCTATACTGTTCTCAATGTAATTTTAGTAATTCAAGTTTACTGAGGGGTGGAGTATATCATCTGGGGTGAAGAGTACAACATCTGAGGGGCGTGGTCAGGATTTTGCGCCATCATGTTTGGATCTTGCAAGGGTGGAGTAGGAGGTGGGGCCGAGCCTGGGTAACCCATAGGAGGAGTTGGGGGTGGAGCAGAACCATGATATCTTTGGGCTGACATGCTAGAATCCATGTAGTAGACTTGACCTGTAGGACCTGTTGAACCACCCAAGCCTGACGTACCAGACATATTGTTCCCCGACTGCATGGTGTAAGCTGGCATGCCGACTGGGTTGCTCGATATAGGAATTGAGGCGGGCGGCATTCCGGGCATGAAGCTAACCATGGAGTAGGGAGGATATTGCATGCTCGGCATCTCCCGCATGAGAGTATGGTAAAGGGAGAGTGCGTCCACAAGCTCGTGACTTAAACGAGTTAACCTACATGATAAATTGTTGAATCAATGAATCAACCAAAGAATCAACAGAATCAACCAGTGCTTAGAATCCATTTAATTATCATGCGAATCCAGATCCGGACCCTGGATCCGCACTGGGGAAAAAATGAATTTAATTTTTTCATGCTAAAACTTCTCTGGATCCAAACTAAAAAAAATGGATCCGGATCCAGGTCATGAACATTTTTTAAAGTTTTACTGATTTTTTTCTCCAAAAGAGCAGAACTGTCAAATTATTTTACTTCTTTTTTTCGCTTATTTTTATGCTAAAACTTGATGAACCATTCAGAGGTCAGGAATTTTTTATAATCTCTCGTTTTTTCAACAGTTCAGATTTGGGTTTTGAGCGTATATGATTTTTGAACCGGATCCAAAGCACTGAATTTAACCAATGCTTAAATGTTAAAACAATATAACGACCGATGAATCAAAGCATCAACTATTAAATCATTGAATCAACCAATGAATCATTCAATCAACCAATGAATCAAGGAACAAAAAAATAACACAACGAATTAACCAAATGAATCAAGGAATCACTTAATTGGCTTTTGTTTAACTTTTCTGCAATCTGGTTTTAGATCCAACAAAAAGGAACTTTAGATTAAGATAGCTGGCTTAATTTGTTATGCTTTGTAGAACCATAGACAAAATCATAAAACATCATAGTCTACAACAACTAATTTCTAGTAGAAATGAAAACTGATATGAATGAATCAAATCTAATTATATTAAAATTACCTAGCATGTTGCCTGTCGATCCTTTCCAGCTCGGCGTCGATTAAAGGACACATTGATGCAACCTTAAACAAAACCGTTTTTCAATTCATTTAGTAAACAAATCCTGACGAAAAGTTTAACAGAAAACAATACGAATAAATGAGCAAATCAAATCTAGGAAGTTAATGCAAGAAATAGCCAGTAATTTAAAGATAAACTAGGTCCGGTCTGTCGGTCCTTGATATGTTTCATCCAAAGCAATCGTACACTCTGGCTTGTCCTAGCAATCGTGCTCAGGCCCGTGATCCCCCCCAGTGACGGATACAGCTCTTTGAAACGGGGGGAAGGGGTCAAATTACCAATACAACTGTGATGGGGGGGGGGGAGCACCGAGTGAAACTTGTGAGCGGGATGAATTAATGAATTAGCTATGAGAATTAGTAGTTTAAGCGCTCAAAAGAGCAAATTTTTCGTTCAGGTACAGGGTTACCCACAAAGTATGAGACTTCAGAGACAATTGTACGTAATTTGTCTAGTCCGTTTTCTTCCATTTAGGGTTCCTTGAAGACCAAATCTGACTTATTTATGTGCTCAATCATGAAGTAACCCATCAAAATACTCAATTTAATGCAGAAAACAAAAATCAAGTTTCAAATCGTCATATTTCTAGAGTTCTGGGTCGTCATTACAGTTTCATCCTGCGGGTAACCCTGCATCTCAGACATGAAAATATTTTTTTTTCAACAGGTTTACATTTCAATTACAAGATATAGCATTACATTTTTATTATAAAAATTTCCTAGACTCTGAATGGTTCATCAAGTTTAAGCATAAAAATAAGCGAAAAAAAAGAATAAAAATAATTTGACAATTCTGCTTTGTTAAAAAAAACTCAGTAAATCCTACAAAGATATAGGGGAAAATGGAAAATGAGGGGAAGGGTGGGACATTTAAAAATCATCAATGCAAAATATGTAAAGCAATATTTTTTGAAAATGAAAAAAAAAACGAATAAAATAGGGTATCAAACTAAAACCGACCTAAACCTTCATTATGATGTTGGATTGGTATATTAATATGGCACATTTCCTTTCTGTCCTATATAGATGAATTCCTACTGTTGAAGGATGATGTTGACAGATAAAAGACGACATTTAAGATTAACTTCTTAAAATTATTTTAGTTTTTTTGTTATATAACTCTGAAAAATATTTTTCAAAGCATATATGTTTACAAAATGTACATTTATACGCAAATGTCAATATTTACAAGTACAAATGTACTTTATTACAACAGTGTTAAATCTCGACTTTGTTCAAGTATCATTTGATTTACTGAAACATGAGATGCAATTATCTGGTGATATATCAATTGGACTAATGGTCGAATGAACAAAATCTCAATTTTACTTAAGTCAGCTGTTCACTTCCTGAATTTGTGCTTTAGCCTATAGTTAAGTTTTAACTGGGCTTATAATCATTTTGAAAAAAATGTTTAAGTGCAAATTTGAAGGGTGTCTAAGGATATTTCGATATCCTGTTCAGCAAGATAAACATGAAGATATGTGTCAAAACGGCAAATAATTAATTTTTAACCTGATATCTAAAAACTATTTGTTTGATTAAATTTGATAATGTAAGACTTTTCGGTGTATGAGGATTGAATTATGGATCAATTGTAACCGAATTTGAATAACCTGCATAAATTCAAAGCATGTTAAATGCTTTTTTATTTCCCGAAATGGTGTAAAAAAAGAAATTAGTTCAGATTGTCAGTACTCCAATTGATATAGCATCTCCAACATTGAATGAATTAAATGTCGTCCTCTATCTCACAACATCTTCCTACGAGGAATTTGCAATATACACAGTGTGATGGTTTGTGAATTTTATCCTTAGACATGAACCGTGCAAATTTTTTTTTTATGCTGTGTTAACAACAATTAACCTAGATATTTCATTCAACGCTTATCTGACAAGTTATCTGTTTCCCGATTGAGAAATACTAAAACTGGGAAACTTTCTTCAACAAGAAAGTATTAACAACCAAATACTTAACGGATATTCTTTTACCTTCGTCGACCGTCAGCTGAGGTGTAAAATCCAGTTTTTCAACAGTCTTAACTTCAACCTAGAAAATTTATCACTCAGCAAGGTAGATAGTTAAAATGTCTAATATTAAACCATCATTTATTCCATCCAAAACAACCAATCATAAATTATCAACCAACTAATAATGTTAAAAATCAAAACAAAACAAAGACAAGAACTAAAAAATCGTCGGAAAATCAAATATTTAACAATCAGTAACCAATCAGGAAATTATATTCTAAAAGATTTCAAACTGGTAGGAAAACATTTAAAATCCAGGAAATTTAAAAGAGATCTGGGTTATCGGTGTAAAATATTACTTATTTTCCTAGTTTCAATATGAAACAGAAAAAAGAAAATTAATTTCTCAAAAATTATATAAAATTTATATTTGAAGGGAATATTACAGTTTATTCCTGTTCAATTGATTTCCCTACCCCTTGAAGCGCAAAAATTGAAAGAAAGAGAATTTTTTACTTTTTGAGGGAAAGAGGAAGTAGCCCAATGTAATTACATATAATACACCCCTTTCATAAGTACAAATATACACATTTCCATACATTATCAAAAAATTATCAAGACAGATTAATAAGTACCTCCTCATTAAACTGAACCGACTTTCTTCGCTCACTGGGTTCAGGTTCTAGACTCAAGGTCACAAAGTTTGCCGGAAATAATCCTTCTCCTCTGGAATAAAAATGTTTTCAAGTTCAAACCGTACGATAAACCAGTCGGACTAAAAAAGGGTAAAGCGAGAAAACAGAAGCAATCAAGTCGATAACTCATATTATGTGTGGACAGCGATGGAATTTGTGACTTGACTGTGAGTAATAAAAATACTCGTATACAGTTAATTATTCATAATATTTTTTATTATCCGAGAATTACTTTTAAAAACATTCATTCATGGTTCGAGGATTTTTGATAATGCAGAGTGCAGACGGCATTTTCATATTTTTCAGGAATGTTTGAAAATCCAGCGCCAAGTCACGAAAACTAGTTGTAAGCGGAATATCAATTTAAAAAAAAAATATTATGAAATATCAACTTTATACGAATGCGTATTGTTTTTTTTACGATCCGAGTCGAATATTGCAACTTTCTGATTTTGTATGGACGCAATTTTCTCCTTATAGACACAACAGATAAAAATAACATTGTAGCAATAGCCAACGAATATTTTTCGACGTAAGCCTATACCCCCTTTCATTTTGGTCAATTTGATATTGATTGGGACAATTTATAAACTCTCCGAGTTTTACTCCTTTTACTTTTCATTATATCATATTCTTAAAATACAATTTTTTCGTCAATCTTCATATTTTTTTCTTCTGAAAAATAGATGGTGCCGCTTTTCCTTCCCTTCCCTCCTCTTGGGTTTTTTGATTTCTTTCCCCCCAGGGGGTGGGGGAACGAATTTTATACACCCCTGAAAAAAAACTACTATTAGATAAAAACAGTCCTGTATCATCAGCGAAAAGGCTAGACAGAAAATTTGTCATATTAATCATATCATTTATGTACAATAATAACAATACAGGCGCGCTAATCTTCTTTTTCAATTGTGAAATTGTTTTCTTTTTATACACTATACATTGTAAAACAAAAACAAAAAAGTTTGCGGGTTTTCAAAATTTAATGAAAATCGAATTTTGTTTGGAGGCTAGTTTTGAAATTTTGATCATCTAAAATCTAAGCAACACGACCAAAGAGCCACGTTATCGTTTTGGACAAATATTATTTGGGAATAATTGACCCTGATAAAAATGTCTTAATTTTGGGTTAAGTCTTAACAAGTCATAGAATAAAAAATAAAATAAAGTCATTCCGGTTAAAACTTAGAAGATCATTGATGCCAATCAAACCTTTTCTTTATTGAAACTTTCAATGCTTCCTTTTTTCTAATAGAACAGAGACAAAAATTAACTTTCTACCTATGGTTCGATCCCTTCCACCAATTTGGATCCTCATCATCTAGTATAACCAGCACTTCACCTGCAAATGTCTGGTTATAGTANTGTAATAATTTTATTACCTTCGAGAGAAAATTAAAAATGGGACGAAACTGGGAGTATTTTTTCTTAGTACTTAGATACTTCACAATCAAAATGTTATTTATTTTTATTTTCCATGATACTAAAATTTGAAGTTTAGACCGCTACTAGGTAGAGGGAACAGAAACTAAGATCTATTAATAAAGTATTTCTTAAATTTTTGACCCGTCTACCAAGGGGAAAAAAATTGCGACCATGAATACCATGTCCTCCTTTCTTTTAATTTCATGTCTAATTTTTCCTTTGTAACCTTATTTTCATAAGAATATATTTTCCATGAAGATTATTTTAACTCATAAATATATAAATTGTGATAAAAGGATTTTTGGCCCAGGAATATTAAAAATAATTCAAAAATTATACCCCTGCAACCCACCAAAAATAATGGCAAAATTAAACAATAGGTTTGCCCAAACGAAACATTTTAGTATTTTTATGCAGTGCTTAGGACCCGTAACATTTTTGCTCCCCAAATTTAAATTCTGAAATATAAACCAAAGCGTGCTAAGAGAATAATTATTGCCTTATTTGTTAACTGATAAGAAATTAATACAAAACTTTATAATCTCTTCGCGTTAAGTTTCAATGTGGATCCATGGGATCCGCATAAAAATAAAATGGATCCTAATACTGATTTTATAAAGGTCACCTGCTTTAAATGTCAATTCATTGTCTTCAGCAGCCTGTATTGTCATAAATTATTCTTCACTATTTTTTTAGAATTTGAATTTTCTGGCCAATATTGTCGCTAATACAGAAATGTTTTTATTTTCATTCCTTATAATTATTCTAATTTTGAATAATTTTTTCCTCGAAATCATATAAACATCTTGCTTTCTTCTCTGGTCGCGAGCTGCTTGATGAAATCACACTGTTAGATGCCATAGAAGAGCCTCCTAATAGTTAAAGAATAATCAAGGATAGTTTGATGGATCTACATAATGAACATTTATTTCATGGTTTGAACTATTTTGTAATTTGTTTAGAACTGACCTGATGAATACAAACTATTCGTAGGGTAGAGTACAGCAGAACTAATAAAAATAATAATAAAATAACGGAATTTCTTGATAATTAAAAAAAAATACCTTGCAGCAGGCAAAGTACTCTTCTGTTTTGAGTTCTCTTGTAAAGAAAGCTGTATAGCCTAACAATAAACAGTCTACACAACTACTCCCAATATAAAAATGATATGAACTTTTATATTTCTTAAGTTAACACACAATTATGAGACTGATTTCATTCCTTTGCAATGTCGTCTTCCTCTTGTTGGGACTGAACAACGTTCGGATCTTTAGGCACTTCTCTTCTTACTTCCTTGCCTTCCTCTCCACCAAAGCTATGACCTTCTCTCTAGAAAAAAATAGTCAACAATTTGATCTAAATATATGAACAATTTCCAACATTTTCTCCATGCCTTAATATTCCATAAGCTTTTTTTAGTACCAAGGTTTTTTAATCAGGGACGCCCAACGACCACATAAACAATCTTGAAATACTTAAACTAATTCTCATAGGTAATGTGGGTTTACGATTCGTAACGATTTTCCGTGGTCACAGTTCAATGGATCATTTACAATTTTCCATGTTTAAAAACTACATGGCTGAAAAATAAAAATTAAGAGTTCTTTTATTTGGTTACTTTGTTCATCACGTCGGACATCCGATATTTTTAGCACAGGGGCGTACGAGGGGGGTGGGGCCCCATTGGTGGGGCTCTTTTCAGATTACATCTGCTTGCATTTCCCTTCCACAGGCAATCTACATTCTACATTTCATTCCAAACTAAAAGATTAAGAAAAGAAATAAAATATATTCTGATTCACAACAATACCCTTCAAAACTGATCAAGTATTGCAATAAACATCCATGTTTCCCATTTTGAAAACTGATGATTTTTAATAGTGGTTTCTCTACAAAATTGACTCTCGCATTTCTTGCTTCAGAAACAATGGAGAAATGAAGATTTCAAAGGTGCATCGGACATGCCACTCTATAAATGGAGGGTCACTTGAAATTACGCATGTATTCCATTTAAGAATAATTACATCGTATAAAAAAATACTTTCAAAACTCACTTTTATGTAAATATATGTTGCCAAGGGGGGGGGGGGGCCACAAAATTTTGCCCCTACACAAATGCTCTCGTACGCCCCTGTATTGGCAGACCACCAATCACAGACTCTATCTATCAAATTAAGTGCATTACTTTATACATGTGAAGGAGGAAGCTGTTGGTTAATTTATATTGGAATGTTGCTTATATTGAATAAACTTCAATAAACTTAACTTAATGTTCTTACTATTTAACCGAGTTTTCACTTTCTTTTCTAATTTTTTTTGGGGGGGAGGGGAGTTCCGTTGGATTTTTTAGTTTCTAAATTCTAGTTTTGAACTTACTGCATGCTGTAATAACATTATAGTCAATGTTAATAATACATAATTGTTAAGGATAATTTTTACCATTCCACCCCCTCTATGGACAGTAGTCACAGGCTCCTGGTGGATCTTTTTACTTTTTTATATTTTTTAAATGCTAAATATCAATTGCAGTTACGGGTTTTAGGGCACATAACATTGAGGGGGCTTCTAATCATAAAAAAAATCCTGAAAAGCCGATTACCCTTACAAATCAAATCAAATCAGATTGTCAAGGTGTCCTCCTTCCACTCCCCAAACTTCTCCCCAAACTTGAAATGAATGATACTAAGTCATGCTTGGAGAAAGGTCTTATAGCTTGTAGATGGTCTGATTTTATATTTGCTTTTACTTTGGTATTTCCCGGCTATTTTGTCTCATATTATATGAGGTTGGTCTAAAGAACTAAAGTATAACCACTACAAATAACATTAAAACGATCTACCAAAGTAAGAAACAAATTCTTATTATGACTAGCTTGTTTAAGACTGATAAAATAGTGGTCGTAACTAGTAAAGGATGCCCTAAATTTAGATCTGGAGATGAAGAAGAAGGGGTTACATATGTACTTATCCCTAGTATTAAAAAATCATTATTTACGCCCACACGTTAATAATGATTAATTTCTGAAGTTTTTTTTTCTAAATTGCTGAAATAAATGAGATTAAAAGGGGATGCTAATTNCCCTAAAAAAACGATAAAAACAAAACAAGAAACTAATAAAGTAAAACAAATACCAAATGAACAACATAAGCACCCCACAAAAATTTCCCCCTTATTTCGTTTCTCAATAATGAATTGCTTGTATGCATTTATTCTTCTGCTTAAAAAGATGTAGAAATAAAAGAAATTATATAAATATCAAACATTTAACAGCCTCTCTGCTGACTCTCCCAACCTGCGAATGTTAAACAAATAAGCGCTGTATGACAAACATAGCTAGAGATTATACGGAACAAATGCCCGTTTTTGGGTCTAAATATACATTTTTCATTCCTAGCGAAGTTCAACAAATCCTTTCTTTTAATTCGATCCTTACCTTCAGATTATTGTAGAGCGAAGGGATTAGACTGTATTTAGGATCTTTACTAAATTCACCATTGGCCCAGCTTTTCAGAAGAGATTTCATTTTTTCTTGAACCTTAAGTGAATAATTCGTTTAAAAAGTAAAATATACTAATCCCAAACCTGTCTTTGATTTAGAAAACCAGGGTACCTTTGGATGAACTTTAACGAGCACTTTCCGAAATTCGGTCTCAAAATCTCGACTTGCAACCTAAATAAGTGAATTACAGAAAATATTCAAAATGTCGTATGAACCATATACGACACGTGTCTTGATATGTATATTTTTAATGAACTTGTACAATCCAATCTGTTCACTTTTGTCAAAAACCCGTAAATCATTTTTAAAATACGTACAATCCTTACAAACCGTACAATTAGCGGTTAAAATAAAATATTCAATACAAGTTTTCCACCTAAAAGAATAAACATTCTTAAAGGAACTGTAAACGTAATTTCAAGTGACCATTAAGTTTATTACTTGAAGAAGCCCAGTTTAGATTCACAAAGAAATCTTCGATAGATCAAGAATGAGGAAGAAAGTTTAATTAACATAAATAAAAGTTGATTAATTTACGAATTATCCGCGTTTCCGCGGATAAAATCTAAATTTTGGCATAAAAGCATTTTAAAGACAACAAAAACAATAGTTATCATTAACATTTTTTAATTGGTGTAAGATATATAATAATCAAAAATGAGTCATCGACGAATAATTGGAAAAATTTTATTCGACGCGGCTTCCACTGCTTTGTTTTCAAATAAATAAGCTTTTTCTCTTAGAATTTTTGTCCTTGTGAGCTCTAGATCTCAAAAGTACAATCGACTTTTAAACAACTTCCACAAAAAAGACGGTCTTACGAATTATTTATTAAAAAATAAAATAAAAATAGTGTCTGACATTTTGTATTACGTTAATTTCACTTTACATTTAAAAATGAATTAAAACTAAAAAAATATATTGTTACAATTAGCTGTTTTAACAACTTTATCAATCGATTTATATCCAGATAAATATCCGGTTCTCCCTCATACTTGATCTATCGAAGGTTTAAAGGGTACCGTTGCGGATTTTTGATAAGGGTACTTGAAATTACGCTTGCAGTCCCTTTAATACCTCTAATAGGAAGGATTGCCCACAGTTATTGACACAGGCATCCAACAGTGTTAATGCCTAGACCGCGAACAGTAAACAAAAATTCGATTTGTTAATTACTTTTTTCCTTTCTAAAAATATTCATGTCATTAAAAAAGTGAAAGCAAATACTGAGAACATCAACGATTAGAGGCTGAATTTGAAGATGAAAACTGTTCCTGTAGTACAACATGAGGGTCCTGATGCTGTAATCGTTTATAAATTGCACGCAGGCAATCCTTAGGACCAGTAGTCGTTGCTCCAACTCTATCACAAACCTATATAATATTCAAAAAAAGGATTCAGGAAAAGCCGTAAATTTAAAAATTATAATTAGTTCTTACATAAAGGCGTCAGGATTGGGTTAGCAGAATGGACAATGTGTGATAAATCAATCAATCAATTTACCAATCAATCAATTAATCAAACAAAATATTTGTTGAAAATAATTGTTCACCCTTATTCTTTTTATAAAAAAGTATTTTTCATTATTTTAGCTTGTTAGTGACACAAAGGGCGCAATATAAATATTTGCTTTAATAATTTTGCGAAATATAAAATTTAGGACTGGAACTTTAAACTAGGAAGAAAGATGACATTAGAAAAAAACAATAACCGGTTTTATTCTAAATTAAAAAACCAAGGCCGCTTACACTGTGACTTTTAACTCTTACTTTAGTCATTTTTTAAACTGAAAGACACAAAAAAAGGCTTAAATTTGAAAATAAATGAGGAGAATGTGGCTCGGACGAGAAATTGTTGTGGTTGGCCTTCCTCCCCCCGTAACACAAAAAGGGTGAAGTTAAAAAAATTATTTTATTAATCATTTTTCATTTCTTATTCTAATTTACTTAGAATTTAAGCTGTTTTTCAACGAGCGGTTGTTCAACGGGTACAGCTGGTTTTTATTCTCCCCAAAGAATATACCAATGAATATTCATTTACATTGTTTTATTGAGAGCTTTGACTCACTGTTTATTACCTCCATTATAAGCCCCCAATCTTCTTTACTCTTCTCATCTGTCACCTTTTCCACAATCTGATCAAATGGAGTACTTGTGTTGAAAATCCCCATTTTATGTCCAATAAAGAATGTTCTGAAAGATTAAAAAAATTAACAAAACTAAACCATTGACTTTTCTTTTCATTGTTCATTTCGTTTCTTCCAATCTGCAAAGCTACCGAGATAATTAGCAGTGTTTTTAAACCCAAGAAATTGTACTATTTCTTGAGCCCTTGCACTTCTTTTCCCTATTAAGCATGAGAAAATAATGGGATCATGTATTCCCGGCATTTTGACCTTGTATCTATTCATAAAGACTACAGGAGAGAGATCAAAAGCAGTCTTGATTTCATTAAGCGGTATAAGAACAGATCCCTGCAGTATACCGTCGACTTCTAGTTCTTTTGGATTACGCACATCCACGACAAGAGCAGTCCCATTCTTTAAATGATTTTTCACATCTTCATACTCGACAACAGGTGGAAGTGGATTCGTCTTTTTACTGAATTGCATCATTGAATGTCCATTGGCTTTAGATATGTTCGGAGGCATGAAGTTCTTTATTGAAGAACATCCAAGTGTAGATCTCACCACGTTGCATCTTGAGTAACCAATGAACAATCGAATCAATTTGCTTCCGCACTCATTCATTTTATACTCTTAAAGATAACTTTAGTATAACGTTCAGGGTTTAAAAATTTGTCGCAGTAGATGAGATAAAAATCAAGCAAGAGCAACCCAAACATTCAAATCTTCCGTTTGATAAGTTTCTAGATAACGATTTTAGGACTCCATCCTCCCACTTATTAATTTTATACATGTGTCTTAGTGTCAAAGTTGGACATGTGGCCACATTTTTGAGCCGAGTGCTGTGAATAAGACAGGATAGAGGGCCGAGCACCGTACCAGGTCATGCTGCTGGGAGCCAGGTGCTGCGGCAACATGCCTATGCAAATGTAGGACATAATAGATGCATACAATAATATTAGGAGGGGTGGGAGGAAATAGAAAGATCATTTTCAGGGAAATTACCTGAGGGTCGGGTATCCAAAAACCGTTTACTCGGAGGGGCAGACCCTTTAATTTAATAAGGATAACTCTTGAATTTCAGAAGCATTGAAGTTTTCAAAAAAACTGATAGGATTTAGGGTTATGTTTAAAATTTAACTAATTTTCTTCCCATCATAAATGAATAATTTTAAGAGGTACAAAATTAATTCGTTGTTTCTGAAAGGCAAGATATTTTCCTATTATACACTTTTTGGTAATTTCCCAGAGAACGATTTTCCCCACAACTCCTATCAATTTTGTACATCTGTAGAATTAATCATGTTGCCGTAGAACCCAGCCCCGGTGTCATGCCTGCAGAGAACTCGTACCTGCAGCGGACTCATGGTTATGCTACGCGGCAAAGCGCAAGTTTCTGGAAATGTAAACAAACAAGAAAAATTCGATTTATTCGAGTTTACGGCTAATTTTCCGTAATTGATCCGTCGTTTTAACGCAAAGGGTCTGTCCTAGAACCCCCCCCTCCCCTCCTTCTTATAAATTTTTATACATATGTATAAAAACATAGTTTAAATGTACTATATTGCTTCTAGAGGTAC